TCCCCGAGCTGAGGCTGCAGAGTGAGGGGACTGCCTGCCCTCCCCCGCAAACCCCTCTAGCCAGGGCTCACCCAGGGACCGGCAGGCTCAGGAAACCAGATTGTCCAAGAGAGCTATGTTTGGTTGGAACCATTCTGGCCTGCTCCACTGGCGAGGCCTGGCTGCTTTGTAAGTGGTTTATTTTCTTCTCCTGGGTCAGGCCCCTGCACTGTGCCAAGAGCAGACGCCACGGAAATGCAAACATCTTTCTCAATGGCTGCATTAGCCACATTTCCTCGCTGCTATTTCAGGGCGAACAATGAAATGCACAAGCTCCAGCCTGTGCTGCCGGCAGGGCACCAGATGTTCTAATAACTGACGAATGTACCAGCGCTGAATACAAAACGAGCTGGTTGGATGTTTATATAGACCCAGGGTTTCAATAGGGATTTAATTCACTCAGTGGCAAACGTCTGCCATTTCCTTGTTCACAGGCTGGGCCTGCATGCTCTGTGCGAGGCCCCGTGTTGGTCCAGCTATTTATAAACCTGAAAGGGCATGGTGCGGGGGGGGGGGAAGCAGAGGTGTCCAAGGCTGCAGGTGACAGGTTATTTAGGTAAGTGGGGACCAGAGGGGACTGCCAGGCACGTCAGCGGACCCGGAGCCAGCCAGGAGGACGGGCCACGTGATGGCACTGAAATTCACTGTGCTGCGGGCCGAGTAACGCCACAGGGGTTCAGGTAACTGTACCAGCTCAGCGAGCGGCCGCGGAGCAGCAGAGCCCTGCAATGCACAGCTGTGCTCAGTGGGGCGGCCATGACATCGCCATGGGGGGTTAAACACAGAACAGAGGGATCGGGGACGAGAGCCCCAGCCCCTCTCGGTACCTGCTGCTCCAGCCCCTGGCCCCCAGCTCTAACCTGACACTGCAGCCCAGCCAAGAGTCCAGCCCCTCCCTGTGAGGAGAGCAGCCAGCCCAGCAAAACCTGCCACGGGGGGCACCAGCCCCATGCAGCCCCTCCTGCCAGGTGTTCACACCACCCTCTGCAGTGGCTGGCCTGGGCTCAGATGAGAGCTCAGACAGCCTGATATCCAGTCGCAGCTCTGCCACCGGCTCTGTGCATGGCCTCGGGCCAGTCCCCTGGTGTCTGTGCTGGTTTCTCTCTCTCCCAGTGCGTAGGGGGCTTGTGAGGGTGAATTGCCGCCCTCGGCAGGGGGCTGGAGAGGCAGACAGCCCTCCACCCCTCTGGGGCAGGGACCCTGGCGCAGCAGAACCAGTCCCCCTACACAGGGCCCTGCTGCACCAAGGCAGAGCTCCTCCTACTCCGAGTCCCTCTTGTCACCATCATGTGACCCTGGTCACCAGCCCCAACCACCAGCCCAAATCCGTCACCTGGGGATGGATAACTAGGCCCAGGTAGGGCTGAGCCAGCCCTCACCTCCCCAGTGACTGTGCGGGTTCATAGCGCAGGGGGACCCTCCTCCGGCGGCCGTGGGCAGCACTGGGCCCCCCGGCTCTGCCAGGAGCGTGCAGGAGGGGAGGGACAAGGATCCCCAGGCCTGGAGAACCTCTTGCAGGCAGAGATTGAACCGAGGGGGGTTGTCAGCAGAGAATGGAGCCGGAGGCGGACGTGACCAAGTCTCTAGCCCAGTGCCCAGCGAGGGGAGCTTGGGCCCCTCTGTTCTGCCGGCCTCCCAGGGTCGGGACCTTGGGTTTTGAGGCAGCTCCAGGGGGGCACAGGAACCAGTAGAGACTCAAAGTGGGGAGCCCCCCAAGAACCGCTGGGGTCCGAGCGCTGTCTGTGACTAACGCACCAGTGTTTCCCTGGGTGGTTTCCCAGCCAGGCCCTGAGTAGTTATACAAGCAGCCCGGCTCCCTGCATTAGCTGGCGTTTCCCACGGCGGCACTGGCTGGCTCTGAAACCAGCTCACGGCTGACAGTGACGGACTGGGGGCTCCCTGGCCTGTGGGGCGTCTCACTCCGAGGCTGATGCTGCCCTGGGAGCCGCCTGCGCCTGGCCCGGAGAAGAGCAGGGGGATGAGCGGTCAGCAGCACAGATGCTGGGCCGGCTCAGTGGCGTGCACGGGGAGCCCAGCCCAGCAGGGAAGCCAGCTCCCTCTGCCCCCCAGCCCACGGTAGCTTTGGCACCTTGCGCGTGCAAATTCCCGTGAGCCGCCGTCACGCAAAGCCCCATCTCGGTGCGACAGCCTGTGCATCGTGGCAAGACAACCGCCACGGGGTCGCCCCATGCGCCGTCTCTGGGGCGTGCCGGGGACGTGAGCGGTCTCGCGCGACGTCTCCAAGCCTAGGGCCGCTGCCCGGCAGCTGCGCGGATGCTCACCCTTCGCTAGCCCTTGGCGCAGCAGGGCCCTGCGAGCAGTCACTAATTAACCTTTCGCTGAGACATTAAACCGCAACCCTGACACCTACGCTCATGACAGAGTCCAGGGCAGCTGGGCCGACCCCTCCTCTCCCTTCCATGGGCTCAGGGAAAGCCATTCCCGCCCTGGCTGGAGCCGGAGCCCGCTCCCAGAGGCTGCCAAATTCACCTGCGGAGGCAGCTGTACCACGGGCCAAGGTGGTACCGGAGTGACCCCTGCTGGCATACTGTGGCCTATGCAGATTTTGGGGACGCCCCCCGCCCCCCATTGCCAAATGACCCCGGTGGCTGCTCTGCAAGAGCAGGTGGCTGATGAGGCACAAGGAGACTTGTCACGCACGGGGCTGGGGCAGGTGTGTGTGAACCTGCGTTACCTAGGGAGGTGGTAGAATCTCCTTCCTTAGAGGTTTTTAAGGTCAGGCTTGACAAAGCCCTGGCTGGGATGATTTAACTGGGATTTGGTCCTGCTTTGAGCAGGGGGTTGGACTAGATGACCTTCTGGGGTCCCTTCCAACCCTTATATTCTATGATTCTATGAACGCAAGGAGCAGCGATAACAGGAGACACCTGGGGCTGCAGGGGGCTCAGGCTGGGGGGGGGGGGGGGCGGCTCTGTACCAGAGCACTGACGAGGCTCCAGAACTGCTGTAGTAACGGCCCAGCTGCCCTGGGCTCTGTCATGAGCACGGGTGTCAGGGCTGCAGTTTAATGTCTCAGCTGAAGGTTAATCAATCAGTTACTAGGCACAGCGACCTCAAGTGCAGGATCCTGAGACAGGGAAGAAAGGAGAGCAGCAGAATATGGACCCTGGACTTCAGAAAAGCAGCTTTCACTCCCTCAGGGAACTGATGGGCAGGATCCCCTGGGAGAATAACATGAGGGGGAAAGGAGTCCAGGAGAACTGGCTGTATTTTAAAGAATCCTTATTGAGGTTACAGGGACAAACCATCCCGAGGTGCAGAAAGAATAGTAAATATGGCAGGCGACCAGCTTGGCTTAACAGTGAAATCTTCGGGGAGCTTAAGCACAAAAAGGAAGCTTACAAGAAGTGGAAACTTGGACAGATGCCTAGGGAGGAGTTTAAAAATATCGCTAGCTCATGCAGGGGTGTGATCAGGAAGGCCACGGCACAACTGGAGGTGCAGCTAGCAAGGGATGTGAAGGGTAACAAGAAGGGTTTCCTCAGGTATGTTAGCACCAAGAACGTGGTCAGGGAAAGTGGGGGCCCCTGACTGAATTGGGGAAGGCAACCTAGTGACACGTGATGTGGAAAAAGCTGAAGTACTCAATGCTTTTTTTGCCTCGGTCTTCACAGACAAGGTCAGCTCCCAGATGGCTGCACCGGGCAGCACAGCATGGGGAGGAGGTGAGCAGCCCTCAGTGGTGAAAGAACAGGTTCAGGACTATTTAGGAAAGCTGGACATGCACAAGTCCATGGGTCCAGATCTAATGTATCCGAGGGTGTTCAGGGAGTTGGCTGATGTGTTTGCAGAGCCATTGGCCATTATCTTTGAAATGGCGATGGGGGGAGGTCCCGGACAATTGGAAAAAGGCAAATATAGTCCCCATATTTTTAAAAGGAAAGGAGGAGAACCCAGGGAACTACAGACCGGTCAGCCTCACTTCAGTCCCTAGCAAAATCATGGAGCAGGTCCTCAAGGAATCCATTTTGAAGCACTTGGAGAGGAAGGTGTTATGGTGCGGGGGTGAACTGCAAACAAAACAGGGCAGACAAACCCCAACCGCTGGTGGATATTTCAATACTTAGATTTACCAAACCAGCCCAAACCAGCTTCTATAGCGAGTCCCTGGTTACTCAGACATCCAAATAATGCACTTCCCTTGAAGTACCCAGCCTCAAGCCTCTGTCCAGACACATGTCAAATATATAATGATAAATTCTGAAAACCTTATATCATATAAACGAAAGGGTTTTACTGACCCCAAAGGACCAAGCCCCAGACCCAGGTGTCATGTTATTGACTTGAACTGGGACCATATAGAACATGATTGCAACCAAGGTCCTGGAGTGGCACCAAATCTTGTATAAAGGGGGTTAAATAAGGTATCTAAGACAAGGTTATGGTTTGCTGGTTATGATTATGCTGTCTGTATGTATCATTTTTGTAGTTAAAGTTATGAATATTGGCTCTATACTGTCTGTATTCCAAACTTGTGTTATGCTTCTGGGTGACATCCCAGATAAGTTGGAGTCAGCTCTGCCTAGCCTGCTTGATGGCCCATTAAGGACCATCAGTTATACAACTGACCCTTGAGAGAAGGCAGACACGCCTTGGGACTCAGCAAGGTGTGCAGGGACCTGCCTATGGACAGAACTCTGAGGGTTTTCCAGGCCGTGTGATGGGCAGCTTGTCCTTGGGACAAAGAAAGAAAGACCACATGGCAAGAGACTATAAAAACCTGCTGCAGCTCCTCCATCTGGTCTTCAATCCTGCTTCTGACCTCTGGAGGGACTTTGCTACCCTGAAGCTCTGAACCAAGGACTGAAAGACCCCTCCCAGCTGGGGATGTTCTCCAGAGACTTGATTTGAACCTGCAGCTTATTCCATCACTGCTAAAAGCCTGAACCAAGAACTCTGCCATTGCTGTGTGTCATTGATTCCATTTCACCACTTCTAGCTCTCATCTATAGCTTTTTCCTTTTATGACTAAACCTTTAGATTTTAGATTCTAAAGGATTGGCAATAGCGTGATTTGTGGGTAAGATCTGATTTGTATATTGACCTGTGTCTGGGGCTTGGTCCTTTGGGATTGAGAGAACCTTTTTTCTTTTATTGGGGTATTGGTTTTCATAACCATCTGTCCAAATAATGAGTGGCACTTGTGGGGATACTGGACTCTAAGGGAATTGCTTGTGTGACTTGTGGTTAGCCAGTGGGGTAAAACTGAAGTCTTCTCTGTTTGGCTGGTTTGGTTTTCCTTGGTGTGCAAAGAAACCCCAGCCTTGGGCTATAACTGCCCTGCTTCAAGCATCCGATGAAGTGAGCTGTAGCTCACGAAAGCTTGTGCTCAAATAAATTTGTTAGTCTCTAAGGTGCCACAAGTCCTCCTTTTCTTTCTGCTTTAAGCAATTTGTCCTGAATTGGCATTCTCAGTTGGGTCCCGCCAGAACCAGCTTTGTTACACCAGGTCAAGTGATAACTCAGATCTTACCCAAAATACACGCTTACAGTCAATTCTTATTAACTAAACTAAAATTTATTAAAAAAAGAAAAGAAAGAGAGTGTTGGTTAAAAGATCAGTATACATACAGACTTGAGTTCAATTGTTGAGGTCCAGATACACAGCAGAGATGAGTTTGTAGTGGCCAAAAGTCCTTTTAGAAATAGTCCAGAGGTTATAGTCCAAAGTCCATGTTCAGGGTGACTCCAGTCAGCAACTGGGGATCTCAATCCTTGTGGCTTAAGGTTTTCCCCTCTTGAAACCCAAAGCAGATCTGAGATGAGGAAGGATCGTGTCCCAGGGTTTTTATACATTTCCTGCAGCCTTTTGGCCTGAGAAGACAATAGGCTTAACTTTCCTTCTCCCAAACACCATGGCAATTAGCACAGGATAATTTATCCATTAAACCGTTCAGATACAGGCTATCACAACCTTCAAAGAGACATATAGACAATAATACGATTTCACTCAAGTGTCTTCCTAAATGTTAATATTCCTCTTTTGTTCTTTGAATCAAAGCTACAGCCATAGACAAGACTTCTTTGCTGACATCACAAGACCTGAACAAACATCTCCCCTTCTATCTCTAACAATGCAGGCTGCATTTCAAAGCTCTATTTGTTTCCATCTCTTCCTAACCAGCCTCTAAAGTTCGGCCTGGGGTCAGGTCAGTCTGGGAGTTAATTAACTCTTTCTGGCCCTGTCACCTTTTAATGAGATATTATATTACACTCATAATGTCACAGAAGGTGATCAGGAACAGTCAACATGGATTCACCAAGGGCAAGTCATGCCTGACCAACCTGATTGCCTTCTATGATGAGATAACTGGCTCTGTGGATATGGGGAAAGCGGTGGATGTGATATATCTTGACTTTAGCAAAGCTTTTGACACTGTCTCCCACAGTATTCTTGCCAGCAAGTTAAAGAAGTATGGGCTGGATGAATAGACTATAAGGTGGATAGAAAGCTGGCTAGATTGTCGGGCTCAACGGGTAGTGATCAATGGCTCAATGTCTAGTTGGCAGTCGGTATCAAGCGGAGTGCCCCAGGGGTTGGTCCTGGGGCCGGTTTTGTTCAACATCTTCATTAATGATCTGGATGACAGGATGGATTGCACCCTCAGCAAGTTCACAGATGACACTAAGCTGCAGGGAGAGGTAGATACGCTGGAGGGTAGAGATAGGATACCTAGACAAATTGGAGGATTGGGCCAAAAGAAATCTGATGAGGTTCAACAAGGACAAGTGCAGAGTCCTGCACTTAGGACGGAAGAATCCCATGCACCGCTACAGACTAGGGACCGAATGGCTCGGCAGCAGTTCTGCAGAAAAGGACCTAGGGGTGACAGTGGACGAGAAGCTGGATATGAGTCAGCAGTGTGCCCTTGTTGCCAAGAAGGCTAACAGCATATTGGGCTGCATTAGTAGGAGCATTGCCAGCAGATCGAGGGATGTGATTATTCCCCTCTATTCGGCACTGGTGAGGCCTCATCTGGAGTACTGTGTCCAGTTTTGGGCCCCCCACTACAGAAAGGATGTGGACAAACTGGAGAGAGTTCAGCGGAGGGCAACGAAAATGATTAGGGGACCGGAACACATGATTTATGAGGAGAGGCTGAGGGAACTGGGATTGTTTAGTCTGCAGAAGAGAAGAGTGAGGGGGGATTTGATAGCTGCTTTCAACTACCTGAAGGGGGGTTCCGAAGAGGATGGACCTATTGGGTTCCGGGAAGTGAGCAGGCGGGAGCCCACTGCTTAAGGACCGCCCCCCGCCCCGCCCCAGCCTAAGGGGAAGATCTACAGGACCTGGAAACCAAATGATTCCGGGGGACAACTAATGAAATAACAGGGACAGGAGTGCGGTCAAAGGGTCAAAAGAAGGGAGCCTGACGGGGACACTGAGCAGAGAACCCTGGACAGCGCCCACTGCTCCTCAAAGGCGTCAAGGGAGCCAGTGGACGCTGCCTGGATACGTGAACGGACTGAGGATTGGAAACAGGCCCCACAGTCACAGGAGTCTCCATTGGCCAACCTCCTCACTCTGGTTTTATAGATGGCCATTTTAGCCAGGGCCAGGAGGAGGTTGACCAGGAGGTCCCGTGACTTTGTGGGGCCACGGATAGGGAGTGCGTAGAGCTCGGCTGTTCTCAGTGGTAGCAGATGACAGACCAAGGAGCAATGGTCTCAAGCTGCAGTGGGGGAGGTCTAACTTGGATATTAGGAAAAACTCTTTCACTAGGAGGGTGGTGAAGTGCTGGAATGGGTTACCTAGGGAGGGGGTGGAATCTCCTTCCTTAGAGGTTTTTAAGGCCCAGCTTGACAAAGCCCTGACTGGGCTGATTTAGTTGGGGATTGGTCCTGCTTTGAGCAGGGGGTTGGGCTCGATGACCTCCTGAGGTCCCTTCCAACCCTAATCTTCCATGATTCTATGGCATGGCATGACATGACACGACAAGCGTGGCAGCTGTTGGGATTTTTATTCTGCTGCTGACTGAGAACATGTGTAACATGGTCCAGACTTCAGCTTAGCTCAGGGGCAAGGATGAGTGACCCTGGCCAGTGCTGTGCCTGGCGGTTCTAGGAGAGCAGGCAAGGGCTCAGTCTGCCCTGGGCCTTGTCTACACTAGAAAGGGTTGGCCAGTGTCCCTCTCCAGGCAGAGCTAGACCTGCCCCTGCCAACAGCCCTCTGTGGGCAGCTCTGGGACGGGGCTTGATCCCCTGGGCTCTGCGGCGTGTGCGCTGGGACAAGCACTGCCAGGGCAGGATGGGCTAGGAGCAGACAGGGCTCTGCCAGCCCCACACGCCCCGGTTACCATGCCAGAGACAGGTAAGAGCAACGGTGCAAACACTCAGAGCACGGGGGCGGGGGGGAGGCAGCAGCCCCAGGGCAGGGCTCGCTCTAACAGCACCATGCTGTGGGGTGTGTGGGGGGTGGTGAGAGGCACCCGCATGGCCAGGTCACGACAGCCACCATCCGTTTCCCTGGGCTAGGCTGGTGCGTCACCTCTGCCATCACACGTGCTTGAAGTCCTTGAGGGCCACGCTGGCTGCGTTGCGGCCTGGAGCGCCCATCACTCCCCCACCTGCAAGGAAACAGATGCATGTGGGGCCCAGGAGCTCTGGGCGTAGCAGGGCTGAGCTGCCATGGGGAGCAGGGGCAGGAGCCCAGACGCACAAGAGGGCAGCAATGGCTACGTTTCCAGCTGGAGAAGACTCCCCGCCACCCACGGCAGCTTCATGGCAGCTGGGAAAAACCTGGGGCTGGAGCACAGAACCCGGGCGGCCCCCACCCTGCCCCAGCTCGAGGGTGCAGCCTCTCTCTGGCCTGCGTACCGACTTCTCCCTCCTGCTGTGCCGGGCCCACCCCTTGGGCGGAAGGAGCACAGCGCCCGGTGGGACTTGTGCCAGCCCTGGGCAGAGCCATCTGCTGGATCCCAGCACGGGGGCAGCTGCTCATCACAGGCGCCCCACAGGGCACAAGGCACGTGGTGTCCCGTGGCATCAGCCTGTGACCCACGGGGTGTCCGTGGCCTCGGCTTCTCCTGCTCAGACCCTGGGCAGAGCTGGCAAGGTCAGCACAGCGCCCTGCAATCGCGCCTGTACCCAGAAGGGCCTGTGCAGCCCCCAGGGCAGCGCTCGCAGCAGCAGGGCCCGGGGAGGGCTGGACCCAGTGTGAGCCTCCGCCTGGCGCTCTCCCCACTGTAGCCACGAAGGGAGGGATCCCAGCTCACGTACCGGGGTGGGCACCGCTGCCACAGAGGTACAGGCCTGGGATCGGGGACCTGTAGCCAGAGTACGAGGGCACAGGTCGGGCAAAATACAGCTGGTCCAGAGACATCGCACCGTGGAATATATTCTGCAAACAGGCTGAGTTAGGTCCTGGAATAGTCTCCTCCTCTTCCCGCGCTCCGAGCCAGACAACTGGGCTGCATGGCTCCAGCTTCCCTCACTAGGCTTTGGGCCAGGCTGGCTGGCAGGCTAGGCAGGTGCCAGATTGGCCGGGCACCGGGTAGGCAGATGCCAGGCAGGCTGGGCTGGGAGCAGGCAGGCTAGGCGGGCACCAGGTGGGCAGACGCCAGGCAGGCTGGGCTGGGGGCAGGCACTGGGTGGGCAGATGCCAGGCAGGCTGGGCAGGGGGCAGGCAGGCTAGGTGGGCACTGGGTCGGCAGATGCCAGGCAGGCTGGGCAGACGCCTGGCAGGCTGGGGCGGGCACCGGGTGGGCAGACGCCAGGCAGGCTGGGCTGGGGGCAGGCACTGGGTGGGCAGACACCAGGCAGGCTGGGCAGAAGCCTGGCAGGCTGGGGGCAGGCACCAGGTGGGCAGATGCCAGGCAGGCTGGGCAGATGCCTGGCAGGCTGGGGGCAGGCACCAGGTGGGCAGATGCCAGGCAGGCTGGGCTGGGAGGGCTCTGTGAATCTCATGATATACCCACCCCTCCGGGCAGCCCAAAGATCTTCTCCAAAGCCGGCGGTGTTAGGATGTCTCTGCCGATGACGGACGCCTTGAAGCCTGGCGCGTAGGCCTCGACCCAGTCAAACACTAGAGAGCGAGCGAGAGATGTGGCTCAGCCTGCGTGTCTCACGTCACCAGCTGGGCTCAGGGGCCTAGCCCCAGGCCTGCAGCTCCCTGCAGGGCATTGGGGAGCAGGGCTGGATGGCCCCCGGGGGTAGGGTTACCAACTTTCAAATCCCCTCTATTCGACATTGGTGAGGCCTCATCTGGAGTACTGTGTGCAGTTTTGGGCCCCACACTACAAGAAGGATGTGGATAAATTGGAGAGAGTCCAGAAAAGGGCAACAAAAATGATTAGGGGTCTGGAACACATGAGTTATGAGGAGAGGCTGAGGGAGCTGGGATTGTTTAGTCTACAGAAGAGAAGAATGGGGGGGATTTGATAGCTGCTTTCAACTACCTGAAAGGGGGTTCCAAAGAGGATGGCTCTAGACTGTTCTCAATGGTAGCAGATGATAGAACGAGGAGTAATGGTCTCAAGTTGCAGTGGGGGAGGTTTAGGTCGCATATTAGGAAAAACTTTTTTACTAGGGGAGTGGTGAAACACTGGAATGCGTTACCTAGGGAGGTGGTGGAATCTCCTTCCTTAGATATTTTCAAGGTCAGGCTTGACAAAGCCCTGGCTGGGATGATTTACTTGGGGATTGGTCCTGCTTTGAGCAGGGGGTTGGACTAGATGACCTCCTGAGGTCCCTTCCAACCCTGATATTCTATGAATCGCACAAAACCGAACACCCCTGCCCTGCAGCCTCATCCCCTGCTCACTCCATCCCTGTCACTTGATCTCCCCTACCCTCACTCACTTTCACTGGGCTGGGGAAGGGGTGTGGGAGTGGGTGAGGGCTGGGACAGGGGGTGCAGGCTCTTGGGTGGGGCCAGAAATGAGGGGTTCAGGGTGTGGGAGGAGGCGGTGCAGGCTCTGGGAGGGAGTTTTGGGTGCAGGAGGGGCTCAGGCTGGGGCAGGGGGCTGGGGTACGGGCTCCAGCCAGGCGGTGCTTACCTCAGGCGGCTCCCTGCCTGTGTTGGCTCCGTGTGGCTCCCAGAAGCGGCCGGCATGTCCCTGGGGCCCCTAGGCGCAGGACTGGTCAGGCGGCTCTGTACAGTGTGTGCTGCCCATGCCGGCAGGCGCCACGCCCCCGCAGCTCCCATTGGCCATGGTTCCCAGCCAATGGGAGCTACGGAGCCGGCACTTGGGGCAGGGCAGCGCGCGGAGCCTCCACGGTCACGCTTCTGCCTAGGGACATGTTGCTGCTTCCGGGAGCCATGTGGAGCTGGGCAGGGAGCTGCCTTAGCCCTGCTGTGCTGTGGACTGGACTTTTAACAGCCCGGTCAGCGGTGCCGGCCAGAGACAACAGGGCCCCTTTTTGACCAGGCGTTCTGGTCGAAAACCAGACACCTGGGAACCCTACACGGGGGGAATTCTCTGCCCTGCTCGGAAGGCAGGACTGAGGGTGCCGGGCACTGGACGCCTCTCGGGGATCAGGCGCACAGGGAGCGGCAGTGGGCAAGGGGCCGTGGATGGGAAGCTAAAGAGCGCCGAGAGCTGCTGGCTTTACCCCTGTCGGCGTACGCGTTCTGCTCCTGCTCGTCCCATGGCCGCCCGCCTGCCAGCGCGTATGGGGTGTACTGCGTGAAGAGAGAGACCACATGGCAGCCCGGGGGAGCCAGCGTAGGGTCCAGAGCAGAGGGGATGCACAGCTCGATCATGGGCCTGGGGAGAGCAAGAGAGAGTCAAAGCCCTCGGACTGGGCAGCCCGGGAAGGAATCCAGCCCGAGCCCTGCCCAGCACCCTGGCATGCTGCCAATGCAAACGCCTCATCGCCTCACCCCCTGCCCACTAGCTCCTCCAGCAGGGATTAGCCCCACGTCACCCAGCCTCAGGCTCTCCTCTGGGCACCTCCCCTACGTTCCTTCCAGAAATCCTGGTGTCTCCCCTGTGTCCTTCCCTTCCCAAGAGGCCCTGTTGCCCTGATGAGCGTGGGCAGCTGCCCCAGAGCCCTGGTAGCGTCGCCCTGAGAAGAGCTCTACGAGGGGCACCAGACCGGGCTGCACCGAGAAGTCTGGGCTATCTCCCCGCTGCCGTCCCTCATGGCAAGGCCCAGCAGGGCCCAGCTCTGCCAACGACCAGCCAGCTCCAGCCCTACCTGGTGGACGGCTCCCCACTGCTGGCCTCCTGGAAGGCACGGTGGAGGAGGTGCGTGTCCTCGCAGTTCAGGTGGATGGAGCATTGGTGATGGGGCAGCGGGCGGCCATCACCGGCGTTGGGCGCAGCCACGAAGCTGGGCAGCCGATCCACAGCCACTGGGGATGTTGGAGACGGGGTGACTCCGAGGGGCAGAGAGGACATGGAGCCTCCCATGGTCCTGACATCCCGAGGGGCAAGGGCAGATGGCTGAACCCCAGGAGAGCACGGCAGACATGGAGGGATGGTGCCGGGAAAGGCCGGTTTCCCCTCCGGACTCAGGCTGCAGTAGGGAGCCTCACGGAGGCCCGCGACAGCTCCTTCCTCCCAGGGAAGTGCAGATCACAGGAGCAGCATCTCACGGGGCCCTGCTCCCCCAGGGAGCCAGCGCCAGGCTGCAGCCAAGCCCCAGGGGACCCCAGTGGGGCAGGGAGTTGGACGTCCCGCACTGACACTTACCGTTGATCTTGGTGACGGGGGAGCGTGTGTCGAACTGTGCCACTCGCTGGAGGAACTCCTCCGGCAGCTGCCCCTGGAGCGGGGAGAGCCCGGCTCAGACACCAGGGGCTGGAAACGAGCCTGGGAACTGGCTGGAGGCACAGCCAGCGCTGGGCTGCATCTGGGCACGGCTGGAGCTGCCCAGGACCCCTGGGGGCCACAGCCAGCGCCATGCTTTGGGGTGCAGCCCAGCCACATGGGGCTGGCCCCCAACAGTGATGGGCCCCACTGATGGGGGAGGGGGAGCAAACTCGTGCCCCCAGACACCTTCCTCTCTGCCGAGCTCCCCCTCTGCTCCCCTGCGTTGCTCCAGCCTCGGCCTCCACCCACCACACCGTGTTTGCTGTAAGCCTGGGGGTTCCCAGGCCAGCACCGGGGAGGCCCCTTAGTCACTGAGGGGGGAGGGGGAAGTGGCCTCCTCCGGCTGCCCCACAGGGGCTGGGGTGTGTCACACTCATTGTGGGGAGAGGGGCTCATACCATGAGGAACGCGACCCCTCCCCCTGGCTGTACCCGCCGGTCCGCACACATCTCCCCCAGGGCACCCTCCTCCCCTCCAGCCCATCTCCCCCAGCGCGTCCCACCCAGGCCCGTCTCCCCCAGGGCACCCCCCCGGCATGTCTCACCTGGGGAACGAGCTGCAGGAACGTGAGCTGAGCGGACGCGTTGGACAGAACCAGTTTGCTCTTCACCTCGGTCCCGTCCTGCAGGACGACACCCTGCGCCTCCCCACGGGGGCCCAGCAGCACGCGGGCGACCGGCTAGCGAAGGGGGAGACAGGAGATCAGCCTGGAGCACGCTGGGGCGCCCAGCCATGCACGGGGTGGGGGAAGCAGGTGCTGAGCGGAGCCTGAGTGACCCTTTCCCGTGTGGATGCTGTGGGGCTGGCCCAGCCTCCTCCCCCCACTCTTACCTGGTGGGGTTTACGCCCCTCACCACAGTCTCTGATCGCTGTTCCATGGCGGCTAATGGGCAGGAGGGAAGGGAAGAATTTGGGGCCCTGTGGTCTCTTTGGGCTGGGGAGCACCTCAGTGCTGGGGAGCTGTGTTCTCTGCCCCCTCCCCGGGAAGCCGGGCACCTTCTCGGTGAAGATGTCTGTCCCGTGGGCAGCAGCTGCGCTGGCGATGGCCTGGGACACCCCTCCCATGCCGCCTGCCACGTAGCCCCAGGCCCCCTTCTGCCCCTCCAGCTCGCCCATCACGTGGTGCAGCAACACGTACCTAGGAGAGAGGTCAAAGGTTAACAGCTGGGTCAGGGTAGCGCCCAGCAAGCGGTGCCGGGGTATGGGCAGAGCAGAGATACCGGCCCGGGGCGGGCAGCATTCCCACTGTGCATGGTCGTGGGGCACAGCCCTGGGAGTAACTCCGATCCAGCCCTGCGAGCCAGGGGGCTCAGGCTAGGCCTCCCAGCAGGGTGAGTACACGCAGAGGGTCCCACGCTCCCCCTGACCCCACAGGCACAGCCGAACACCCATCCCCCTCCCATGCCCGCGTGCTGCCAACCCCCCCCCAGCGGGGGACACTGAGCCCAGCTCCGGTCCCACCAGGCTGCAGGGCTGGGCACAGACAGCTGCCAGGCCGCCGAGAGATTCAGGCCCAACAGCGCCAGCCCAGGCAAACCCCATGGACCTGCTCGAGCAGGGGGCCCCTGAGCCTGGTGTGTGCTGGGGGGATGCTGTCATGGAGTCCCTGGGCGATGCTCTGGAACTGCTCCCCGTGAAGCCAGTCAGGACTCTGGGGAAGTCTCCTCTCTGGGAGCAGCCTGTCTTCAGGACACGCAGCTCACACAGCTTCCACCTCCCTGGGTCTGACCTCGGAGCATTCAGCATCCTCTGCCCCTCCGTGCGCTTCCCACTTCGAGTGCGCTCAGGCGGGGTCCTGGGGAAGCCAGAGGGTCCTGCACCCCAACTTCGCAGTCAGATGTGACTCTCAGCCAGCCAGTAAAACAGAGGTTTATTAAACGACAGGAACATGGTCTAAAACAGAGCTTGTAGGTGCAGAGAACGGGACCCCTCAGCTGGGTCCATTCTGGGGGGCAGTGAGCCAGACAACCCCGTCTGCCCTTCACTCCATGTCCCAGCCAGCCTCAAACTGAAACTCCCTCCAGCCCCTCCTCCTCTGGGCTTTGTTCCTTTCCCGGGCCAGGTGGTCTCCTGATTCCTTTGTTCTCCAACCCTTTAGCTCTCACCTTGCAGGGGGGAAGGGCCCAGGCCATCAGTGGCCAGGAAACAGGGTGTCGGCCATTCTCTGTGTCCAGACCCCTGCACACACCTGCCCTCTAGGGCTCTGCAAGGATCATACACCCTTACCCCACCCCCTAGATACTTAAGAACTGCCTAGGGGAAACTGAGGGACCCCCACACTATTCAGAGGAAACATTAAGAACAGTCCCACTTCGTCACAGATGCTCTCCAGGCACGAGGGGGAACATGGTAGCCAGTGCGGGGCAGGATTGGGAGGAAGCGAGCGCTGGGGTGCGACACCCCAGCACCAGCTGTCGGGGACGGGAACAGGAGGGCCCTGGGGAGCTGTGAAGTCTTCAGCCCCCATCCTACCCGCTGCCGGGCGTGTGGGGACTGGCCATGGCGCCGATCACTGCATCCGTAGCCAGGGTCGCTTTCAGGGGCTCCGACTCGAACCAGAGATCCAAGATCTGGAGAGAGAGAAAAATGAAAATGGTGTTTAACGAAGAGAGCCCAGCACAGGGGGCCTGGATCCCATGGCGGGGGGGGGGGAGGAGGCGGGTCCCCCCAGGCCTGGCACAGGGGGCTGGATCCCATGGGGAGGCCACCACTCAGCCCGTAACCCCCTCTGAGGCCCAGCTCCAGGCCTGGTTTGGTCAGCCCCTGCCCCCCAGGGAGGGCGTCTCCCATCCCGCGGGCGCGTCCCCGTGTACGGTGCCGTTACTCACCCTGGTGATTGGGGCCGTGAGCACTTGGTAACACTGGGGCAGCTGCTTCCCCAGCGCCAGGCCTGAGGGAAAGAAACGGGCGTCAGTGTCACCCAGCCCGGGAGGGGACGACTCCCCGGGGCCCCACCACACCCTCCCGGTGCCCAGCTGTGAGGATGTGACGCAGCAGGGAGGGGGGAGCGTTGACCTGGGAATGTGCCCTGGGGAGGGGAGACCTGAGAGCCTGTCACCTGAGCCAGGAGGGGGAGGGGGAGGTGACACCTCTGCCCAGGAATGTGAAGACAGGCTGCAGGAGAGAGCCTGCTGGGGGGGTTTAGTTTCAGTTTGGGGCTGGGTGGAGGAACACAGGGAACCCCAGGGCTGGGGTCTAAGCTCCCTGCTCCCCCAGAAGGACTTGACTGAGGGGTCCTGGGGCTACCCACAAGCTCTGTTTCAGACTGTGTTCCTGTTGTCCAATAAACCTTCCGCTTTACTGGCTGGCTGAGAGTCTCAGTGAATCCCAGGAAGAGGGGTGCAGGGCCCGGACTCCCCCACACTCCATGACAACTAGTGGCAGCGGTGGGATCTACTGCACCCTGTGAACGGCGCTTCCTGCAGTAAGTGACTGGGGAACAGTAAAACGAAGGGGGATTGATGGGGACCAGGCGTGTTGAAGATTCAGAGAGAGACGGTTTCAGGGGGCGGTTAACCCCTGGGAGTGTGTGACCAGAGAGAAGGACTTTTGCAGTAACAGGGTCCCCCGGGGGATTGCAGCGAGCGGTCCTAGGGGCGGAGGAGTCTGCAGCTCGACCCTGGCAAAGAGGTGGTGACCTCAAGAAGGACTGGCACACAAAGGGCTTTTCCTGGAAACCGTGGAAAGCTGCCCAGCCCTGCGAGTGGCCAGCAGGGAGATGTACGCGAAACCCCTTAAGAGTGACCTGGTGGAGCTGTGCAGGCAGAGGGGGCTGCCCATCGGGAGGTCCACCAAGGAACAGCTGATTGCCCAGTTGGAGGAGAGGGATCGCTTGGATGACCCGATCCCTGTCCCTGAGGGAAGCCGCCCGGCAGACGCAGCGTGGGCCCTGGGGCCTGACCGGGCTGGGAGGGGTCAGACGGCTGCCGAGGACATCCCGAGACCCTTCCTACCTATGCCTGGGGTAGGGGTTGGGGGAAGCCCAGCGAATACACTGGGCACCCTGACCCCGGCAGCCAGCAGGGGATCCTCCCGGCGGAGCTCCCCATCCCTGGAGCGGAGGCGGCTGGAATGGGAGAGGGAGATGAAAATGAGGGAGCTGGAGGATCATGAAAAACAACGTCAACATGAGGAGAAACAACGTCAACATGAGCGTCAGGAGAAGGAGAGGGAGCATCAGGAGGAGGAGAGGGAACGTCAGGAGGAGGAGAAACAAAGACAGCACGAACTGGAGCTGGCCAGGCTGCGGAGCAGTGGGGCCCCGGCTGCAGTGAGTGCGGGGGACCCAAGACTGCAAGGAGCTTTGATAAGTGCTTTCCTGGCCCAGAGGAAGGAGGGGGAGGACATAGATAGCTTCCTGACGGCCTTTGAGAATGCCTGCAAGATGAACAGGGTTGACCCTACAGACAGGGTCCAGTTTCTCACCCCCTTACTGGACCCCAAAGCCGTGGAGGTGTACAGCCGGATGACAGGGCCGGAGGCAGGGGACTATGAACTGTTCAAACAGGCCCTGCTCTGTGAGTTTGGGCTGACCCCCGAGATGTACCGGAGAAGGTTCTGGAGTCAGCGTAAAATGCCTGAGGTCACCTACCTACAACTGGTCAACCGGATGCAGGGGTATGCCCGCAAGTGGACAGCTGGGGCCTGAGCTAAAGAGGACCTGCTTGACCTAATTGTACTGGAGCAACTGTATGAACAGTGCCCTTCCGACCTGAGGCTGTGGTTGGTGGACAAAAAGCTCGAGAACCCCCAGCACGCAGGGCAGCTGGCCGACGAGTTTGTGAACAGTCGGTCAGGGGGTAGCTGGGAGGAGTCCCAAAAGAACAGGCCCCCCCCGATGCAGAGAGAGAGTCACCATGGGGCCTCCCAGCAGGGAAATAGGGAGAACCCCCTCCCAAGGGGAACGCCTGGCGTCGGGCCCCTCCGACCCGCTCGAGGGGACCAACGTGACCTAAGCTGCTATCACTGTGGCCAGAGAGGCCACGTACGGATCCAGTGCCCCGGGCTCAGGGACAGACTGAGCAGACCCAACCTACCCAGGGTTAACTGGGTAGGGACCCAGCTGGACGAGGGGCAGACGACCCAGGAAAGGGGGGCTACCAGTTTACCACCTGCCCCGGAGGGAAGAGTACCCCAGGCCAGCTCCACCAGAGGGCTGGAGGCTCTGGACTCAGGGTGCTCGGTTTACAGGGTAGGCGCGGGGCTGTCCCTCTGGAGAGAGTGCCTTGTTCCCCTGGAGGTGGATGGGAGGAAGGTCAATGGATACTGGGATACGGGCGTGGAGGTGACGCTGGCCCGGCCCGAGGTGGTGGCCCCAGATCGGGTGGTGCCCAACACCTACCTGACCCTGACAGGGGTGGGCGGGACCCCATTTAAGGTGCCCGTGGCAAGGGTACACATGAAATGGGGGGCCAAGGAGGGCCCCAAGGATTTGGGGGTACACCACCATTTGCCCACTGAAGTTTTGATGGGGGGAGACCTAGAGGACTGGCCAAGCAAGCCCCAGACCGCCCTGGTTGTGACCCGTAGCCAGAGCCGGCGAGGGGCACTGCTCCCTGACCTCGGGGAGGGTACCGCACCGGAGGCGCAGGACCCTACCCCGATGGGGAGGGAGCACCGAGGGGCACGGCTCAGAGAGGTGGAGGCCTCAGACCTAGCCACTGAGGGGGAACCGGGCCCCATCCCTTCCCCAGCCGCTGGGTTCCAGGCCGAGTTGAGGAAAGATCCCTCCTTGCGGAAGCTCAGGGACCTGGCCAACCTGGGTGTGGGATGGACCATGAGGAGAGGCTGCCAGGAGAGGTTCCTGTGGGAGAAGGGGTTCCTGTACCGAGAATGGGCTCCCACAAGGGAAGTAGAGTCCTGTGGGATCAGGAGGCAGCTGGTGGTCCCCCAGAAGTATCGCCGCAAGCTCCCGTACCTGGCCCATGACATCCCCCTCGCAGGGCACCAGGGAATCCGGCGCACCCGGCAGAGGTTGCTACAGAACTTTTACTGGCCCGGGTCTTTACCATGGTCCGGCAGTATTGCCGATCCTGTGGCCCCTGTCAGAGGGTGGGGAAGGCCCGGGACAAGGGGAAAGGCTCCTCTATGATGGGCTTTGAGACCTTTGCCCATCATAGAGGAGCCTTTCCAGAAGGTGGCCATGGACATCGTGGGGCCTCTCAGCAAGACGACCCGGTCGGGGAAGAAATACATTCTGGGGGTGGTAGATTTTGCCACCCGCTACCCCGAGGCAGTGCCCTTAGCCTCCATTGAAGCCGACACCGTGGCCGATGCGCTCCTGACCATTTTCAGCCGAGTGGGGTTCCCCAAGGAAGTCTTGACAGACCAAGGCTCCAACTTCATGTCGGCCCTGCTCCGGTGCTTGTGGGAGAAATGTGGGGTCCGGCACGACTGGGCCTCAGCTTATCACCCCCAGTCCAATGGGCTGGTGGAGAGGTTTAACGGGACGCTAAAGATGAAGCTGAAAACCTTTATGCACCAGCACCTGCAGGATTGGGACAAGTACTTACCTCACCTGCTGTTCGCGTACAGGGAGGTGCCCCAGGAGTCTACCGGATTTTCGCCTTTCGAACTGTTATATGGAAGGAGGGTGAGGGGCCCCCGGGACCTGATGAGAGACGAGTGGGAGGGAAAGGCCACTCCCGATGGAGAGTCAGTGGTGGAGTATGTCCTGATCTTCCGAGAGAGACTGGCTGAACTCATGGGCCTGGCCAGGGAGAATCTGGCCAGAGCCCAGAGGAAGCAGAAGGTCTGGTATGACCGCACGGCGTGGGCCCCTGCCTACGCCACCGGGGATCAGGTGATGGTTCTCATCCCTGTGAGAAAGAACAAACTACAGGCCGCCTGGGAGGGCCCTTTCAAGGTCGTCAAGCAGCTCAATGAGGTAAACTATGTGGTGGAGCTGTCGAACCGGGCGCACCACCGCCGGGTGTACCATGTGAATATGATGAAGCTATATTATGCCGGGGGAATGTGGTGTTGGCCGTGTGTGGACAGTGAGAGGAGCAGGGAGATGACCCTTTAGTAGATCTATTCCCTGGGACCAGAGCTGGTTCCCCCCTGGAAACAATCCCCCTCTCGGATCAGCTAACCCCTGCCCAGCAAGCTGAGGTCAGGAGGGGGGTGCTGCGTCCGTACCGACAGCTGTTTTCCAACCAGCCTGGACGCACTAATCTGACTGTCCACCGGGTGCAGACGGGGTCGCACCCGCCGATAAGATGCTCCCCCTTCCGAGTCACAGGGAAAACTGCTCAGGACCTGGAAGGAGAGGTCCGGGACATGCTGGCTTTGGGGGTGATCCAGCCATCGGCCAGCCCTTGGGCCTCGCCGGTGGTGCTGGTCCCCAAAAAGGACGGGTCGGTCCGGTTCTGTGTGGACTATCGGAAGCTCAATGCCATCACTGTATCTGATGCCTACCCCATGCCCAGGCCTGATGAGCTCCTAGACAAGCTGGGAGGAGCTCGGTACCTCACCACCATGGACCTTACAAAGGGCTACTGGCAAGTGCCGCTGGATGCAGATGCCCGGCTGAAATCGGCCTTTATCACCCCTCTGGGGCTCTATGAGTTCCTGACCCTGCCTTTCGGCCTCAAGGGAGCGCCGGCCACCTTCCAGCGCCTAGTGGACCAGCTCCTGAGGGGGATGGAGAGTTTTGCCGTGGCGTATATTGATGACATCTGTGTCTTTAGCCAGACCTGGGAGGACCACGTGTCCCAGGTTAGACAAGTGCTGGACCGACTCCAGGGGGCTGGGCTGACTGTAAAAGCGGAGAAGTGCAAGGTGGGGATGGCTGAAGTATCTTACCTGGGCCATTGGGTGGGGAGCGGCCGCCTAAAGCCGGAACCAGCCAAGGTGGAGGTGATCAGAGACTGGCCTGTTCCCCACACCAAAAAGCAGGTCCAAGCCTTTATTGGGATGGCAGGATACTACCGAAGATTTAAGCCCCACTTTAGCGCCATAGCCACCCCCATCACTGAGCTATGCAAGAAGGGGAAGCCAGACAAGGTGGTCTGGACCGAGCAGTGCCAGGAGGCTTTCCAGGCGCTGAAGGAGGCTCTGGTCAGTGGCCCAGTTCTGGCAAACCCAGACTTTGACAAGCCCTTTGTGGTGTTCACCGACGCCTCAGACACGGGACTGGGGGCGGTGTTAATGCAGGAGGATGAAAAGGGGGAGAGACACCCCATCGTGTACCTGAGCAAGAAGTTGCTACCCCGGGAGCAACACTATGTGGCCATCGAGAAGGAGTGCCTGGCCATGGTGTGGGCCCTCAAGAAACTAGAGCCCCATCTCTTCGGGCGACACTTCACCGTCTACACCGACCACTCTCCCCTGACCTGGCTGCACCAGATGAAAGGAGCCAACGCCAAACTCCTGAGATGGAGCCTGCTCCTGCAGGATTACAACATGGATGTGGTCCACGTGAAGGGAAGTGCCAACCTGACAGCGGATGCGCTGTCCCAGAGAGGGGGCCCTGAACTTCCCCAGGTCACTGGTCTCAGTGACCCCGCTCAGTTCAGTCTCGAAGGGGGGAGAGATGTGACGATGTGACTCAGCAGGGAGGGGGGAGTGTTGACCTGGGAATGTGCCCTGGGGATGGGAGACCTGAGAGCCTGTCACCTGAGCCAGGAGGGGGAGGGGGAGGTGACACCTCTGCCAGGAATGTGGATGGAGACTGCAGCAGGGAACCTGCTGGGTGGGTTTAGTTTCAGTTTGGGGCTGGGTGGAGGGACACAGGGAACCCCAGGGTCCCCCAGAAGGACTTGACTGAGGGGTCCTGGGTGTACCCACAAGCTCTATTTTGGACTGTGTTTCTGTTGTCCAATAAACCTTCTGTTTTACTGGCTGACTGACTCCCCCACACTCTGTGACACCTTCCCGCTTTGGCAGGCGGCGAGGGCAGCCGGGGCCCAGTGTGGGCCGTGCATGCGCGAGCCCTGGGCCTGTCTCTGCCCGGGGATGATGGGTACTTGACTCACACTGGAGCCAGGGGCTTAGCTGCCCAGAGGAAGGTCTCAGGCCTCTGCCAGCCCCAGGGCAGTGCCTGGGGCACCTGGTACAGGAAGCGCTGCTCCCCCTCTGCTCTGCTGGCACCCTCTAACGCCAGCACCATGCCCCACTGGATGGGCATGGACCCGTGGCCCTAGCCTCCGGCGCCAGACGTACCCGCCCGCAGCAGGGGCTGCAGGCCTCGCAGGGCGCGGAGCCGCTGCAGCAGGGGGCCCTGGCTCCAGGCAGAGGGGTCCACCGGCGCGGCATCCAGCAGCGGGTCAAGGGCCGACACCAAGCGGCTCAGGAACGCCTCGTACTTTGGATAGGCCTGAAGCGGAGACAGAGGCAGGAGCCAGCGGACGCCAGCCCTGATCCCCGGCCGTGCCCCTCCCGGTTCCCTGCACTCTGCTCAGCACCACAGTGCCTCTGGCCCCAGGCCAGCTCTGGGCTCCTGGACACGCGCCCCGGCTCCTCCCCTGGTCTCTGGCTAGCACACCCATGGTCAGAGGCAGGCTCAGCCACCCAGCCCTTGGCAGAGGGGTGGCAGGGGACAGCCTGCTCCAAAGCCCCAGCAAGCCGGCCGAAGGGGACACCACTCTCAATCACGCCGTAGGGCTGCATCTCTCCCGTCTGCGCTTTGAGCAGCAGGGACATTTCACAATCTGATGTTAATGGAGCCTTGGCTTCAGCCTGCCCTATAAACAGCAATCTGCTCAGGCTCCCTGCAAACTCAGGCCAGGTCCTCGGTAACACAGACAGGCCCAGGCAGGTACATTACACCTGGGTCTGACCCACTGAAGGGGGGCTCGGATGAGACCTGCCCAAAGCTGTGGGAAACGTGGAAGCTGCTGGAGGAAAAGCCCATCCCCGAGCCCAGGTGGGTCTCAGCTACTCAGCCGATAGTGAGAACCAGCAGCATCCTTTGACCCAGCCCTGCCCTGTGCTTCCAGCTGCAGGCCTGAGCGTGGTCAAAGCAAAGAAAAGCCTCTGAGAAAGGTTCAGGGCTCAGCTGAAGCTAACGAACCGCCCAGGTTTTGGAAAGAGAAAGTGTGACAAGGTGGGGGTGTAGATGTGATGAAGCGGGACTGTTCTTAATGTTTCCTCTGAATAGTGTGGGGGTGCCTCAGTTTCCTCTAGGCAGTTCTTAAGTATCTAGGGGGTGGGGTAAGGGTGTATGATCATTGCAGAGCCCTAGAGGGCAGGTGTTGCAGGGGTCTGGACACAGAGAATGGCCGACACCTGTTTCCTGGCCACTGATGGCCTGGGCCCTTCCCCCCTGCAAGGTGAGAGCTAAAGGGTTGGAGAACAAAGGAATCAGGTGACCCCCTGGCCCCGGGAAAGGGACAAAGCCCAGAGGAGGAGGGGCTGGAGGGAGTTTCAGTTTGGGGCTGGCTGGAGACATCGAGTGAAGGGCAGACGTGGTTGTCTGGCTCACTGCCCCCCAAAATGGACCCAGCTGAGGGGTCCTGTTCTCTGCACCTACAAGCTCTGTGTTAGACCATGTTCTTGTCATCTAATAAACCTGTTTTACTGGCTGGCTGAGAGTCACATCTGACTGTGGAGTTGGGGGGCAGGACCCTCTGGCCCCCCCAGGACCCTGCCTGGGCGCACTCGCTGTGGGAAGCGCACAGAGGGGCAGAGGATGCTGAATGCTCCGAGGTCAGACCCAGGAAGATGGAAGCTGTGTGAGCTGTGTGTCCTGCAGACAGGCTGCTCACAGTGAGGAGACTTCCCCAGAGTCCTGCCTGGCTTCGTAGGGAGCCCTTCCAGAGCATCGCCCGGGGACTCCGTGACAGTAAATTATTAGCCCACAGAGGGAGCGAGCGGGACTCATGGCGGCTGGGAGTGGAGTGTGTGTTTTGCCTGCAGCTTTGGGAGATCGCCCCTGGCTGGGCAGAGCCGGGGCTCCCCCCTCATGCTGGGGGGAGATGGCAGCAATTCCCCTGGACACCTGGGTAACCCCGAAATAGTGACACACTCACGCTGGCACTGCCAGGTCAGCTGGGGGGATGATGGCACCACACGCTGTGCTGACAAATGCCCCCAGCGTAGACCCGGCTAGCCTGGGAAAATCTCGCTTTCCCTGGCACAGCTTGTGTCACTTGGAGGGGCTGGTACATGCTGTGTCCACAGAAGGAGCTTTGCTAGGATGTGTGCCAGACCAGGGGTCCTAGGGCGGACCTGGTCTCAGGCTGCAGCTATGCATTGTGCAGATACTGACCATTCTCCGCCCCCTGCCCCTGAGCGTTCGAGCTGGGACGTGCCCATGAGTTGGCAGGCTGGGGAGGGAAAGGATCCAAATCCTTGCTTTGTCTCTGACTCGGTGAGCGGCCAGGAGGCTGCAGGGAACACTCCCAGACCAGCCCCGCTGGTGAGTCCATCCTATCATGGCTGCACGCCTGGGATTTGGGCCCTTTTGGGCCAGTCACACTGGGGTTGGCAGGACTGGGAGCCCAGCCCCAAGCCCCTCCTGCTGCCCTCGGTACCTGTGCATCCTTGGAGGAGAACTGAGCGATCTGCCGCTGGGTGTCCGCCATGTCGTGGCCCAGCAGGAGCGAGCGCCGGGCTTGCCCATCCTCCAGCATGGGGGTGAAGGAGTAGGGGTCACGGGCGTAGACCCTCAGACCATGCCGCTGCAAGACACAGAGCATGGCCAGTGCCAGGCAGCGTGGCCAATCGTCACGGCCCCTCCGACCCCCCTCACCAGCCCAGAGGGGAGAGGCCAGGGGAGCTGTTCTGAGCTGGGGGCTGTCAGGCTCCGGGACTGGGCCCTGAGGCTCAGGGCGGTGGGGGAGAGGCAGGAGCGAGTTGGGCCTGGCCAGGGGATCCTGGCCCTGCAGTGATGCTAGGGCCTCACACCCACCAATGCTCCCAGCAGTGGGAGGGAGGCAGCACGGGGGACTGGCTGAGCCCCCCTGGATTGGCCTCGGTACCTGCAGCTCCAGCTCCGTGGAGATCTGCGGCCGCAGGAGGCTGAGCAGGTAGGATGCTCTGGAAAACTTAAAGCCTGAAAGAGAAGGGGAGCGTCAGCTACCAGCCTGCCCCAGGCACCCGGGGCATCTCGCTGGGCAGGGCTGTGGTTACCTGGGACAATCTCCTCTGTGACCGCAGCGCCTCCCAGAAGGTGACGCCTCTCCAGCACAGCTGTCCGCACGCCCGACTTCTGCAGGTAGGCAGCCTGCCGAGAGCACAAGAGTCACCCGCCCCCACGAGCCCCCCAACAAACCCACCCAGGACACCCCCAATCCCCCACCTGGGACACGCTTTCCCAACAAACCCACCCAGGACACCCCCAAAGCCCCACTCAGGACACTCTCCCCCGACAAACCCACCCAGGACATGCCCCCACTCCGGACACGCTCCCCCGACAAACCCACCCAGGATGCTCCGGGGGGGATCCCCCACCGAGGACACCCCCTCTCCCCAACAAACACATCCAGAATGTTTGCACTCCAGAGTGCTCTTTGGAGCTTCCTCCTCGCCCCATAGGATTCCCCCCATGCACATGGGACCTCCCCTGTCACCCCACAGGATTTCCCCACCCCCCCAAGCTAGGGCACAGAGGCAGATGCCTTGGCATTCAATACTCACTGCAACCAGCCCGTTGTGCCCTGCAACGAGAGATGGGCAGGGGGTGAGAGGGGCCAGGGCCCGTGGCACCAAAGGGTCCTGCTGCTACTCACCACCTCCCTGGCAGCCAGGGCTGGACGGTGCCGTCTATGCTGCTTTCACCACAATGCCCCGTGGCCGCAAGGCAACGGCGCCCACGTGGGCGCAGGGGGCGAGGGGCGGGGACAGCGCTGGCAACTGCCCTAAGCATTGGAACCACCCTTGGGGACCTTAATGAATATGGGGGTTAGGGGCTGGGAGTTACGATGCTCCCCACACCAAGACCCCCACAGCCCACTCCCTTTGCCCAGCAGCACTGGCTCCCCCCCAGCCTCGTTCCCCAGAGCACAGCACCCCCCCACACTGAAAGCCCCCACCCCAGCAGCACTGCGGCCCCAACCCCATTCTCTGCAACACAGCATGAAATGCACCCACTGAGACACGGCAGCAGCACTGACCCCAAGGAGAGAGTGGGCCCCCACTCCAGCCCCCCATCCTTGCTCTCCCCAACAGGCAGGACCCCCTTGCAGCCCCCTGTGTCATTTCCATGGCAACATGCCAGCGGTTTTGCTGTTCACCTGCTTGTCTGGCATGGCTGAGGCCTGTTAGCTCATCTCACCCAATGGCAGGGGAGCAGAGCTGTGGCAAGAGGCTGCACCAGCCCCTGCCCATCACCCTGGGCTCAGAGAGCTCCCCTGCACCCTGGCGGGCGTAGGGTGCCAACCAAGCCGCAGCACCATTTCAGACCGGGGGGAGCCACTTTACTGGTGACTCCAGGGGCTACACTTCGGACACAAGTCGATTTCAAAAATAACCAACCACCACCACACCCTGCAGGCTAAGTCTGGTAAAGGTACTGGCTAGTTACCGAAACATTATTGTGTTAGCGGAAAATTTCTTTGCTTTTCCTACATCTCTAGCAGAATTATCTTTCTTTAAATATTCTTTGCCTCACAGCACAGCAGCGGCAGGCTGAGTGGGGGTGGAGTTGTGTGTCACACACACACACACACACACACACACACACACACACACACACGAGCTCTCCACCCCTGTCTTAAAGGGCCAGTGCTCCTGCACAGCCAGGCTCGCCCCCGTGGGGAGCTGGAGCCTGGCGGGGGAGGGGGGAGTGCCACCCTAAAGGTGCCCCTCAACAGCAGCAGCCCCCAGCCCCGGCATTACCTCCCCCTATCACCACGGCGTCGTACTCCCGCTGCAGCTGGCCCCTGGCCCCGGCGTGAGCCAGCCTCCGGCCCTGCCGGCTGCAGCCAGCCCAGGCCCTGCCCAGCCCGCGCCCGACGGCCATGGCTGTGACGGGCACCAGCAGCTGCACCCCTGCCAGGCCTGGCCCTCGCTGCCGAGTCAGCACTTCCCGCAGGGGCGGGACAGGCGGCGTCAGAGCAGGGGAGGGACGGGGCAGAGCCTGGAGCTGAGCCAGCCCGACAACGGGCCAGGGCCCAGGCAGAGACATGCTGGCCCCTCATGGCTTCCCCCGGCCCCAATTCTCCTGCGACTCCCACAGCACCCTCCCACCCCGTCACTGCGCCCCCCCAACCCCCGTGTCACCAGGTCAGCCGCTTGCTGGGGCGACAAGTGCCATGCCCATGCTCCCTGCCCCCCAGGCACCACCCAGCCTGCAGGGAGCCTACTCCCCCGCTGCGGGGCAAAACTTCCCCGGGCAGGGGCGAGGGAGAGCTGCTGCCACATGGCGAGGGGCCCATCAAGACAGCTGTGCCCAGGGGCACCAACGCATGCCCTTCGCTGGGAGCAGCCGCACCCTGGCATAGCAAACCTGAGCCCTCCAGCCACTGGGGCAGGGATGAAGGGAGGCCTTAGAGCTGGAGCTGGGAGAGTAGACCCCTGGGGCAGGCTGGCTGTCCCCCTTTGCTAACAGATGCTGGGGGCAGCTGTAGACCCCTTAGTCCTAGGGGCAGGAGAGCCTGGGGGGAGGGGCCCCTTGGATTGCAGGCACAGGTGAGAAGCCAGCGGACTCTCCCCCCCCAGTGCAGGAGGTGGGCAGGGCAGAAGCCTGGCAAGTACCTGCCTGGGCCCTGCCCACACTGAGGCAAGAAGGGCCCAGTCCTGGCGGGAGCACAGTGAACCCTCCTTGGTACCAGGCTGGAGAACGCACGGCAAGCAGGCATGTCTCCATGTTCTCATGTGCGTGTGCAAACATGTCTGTCCATGTACTCGCACAGGCAGGTCCAAAGGCAAGGCCCAGTCAGCGGCCAAGCCCCTGACGCAGACAGGGAGGAATCAGGGAGTGCACCACAGTGACCAAGTGCACCAGCTTTAATGCCAGCCTGGAGTGTGGCACGTACAGACAGAGACACGCTACCATGGCCATGCACTTCCAATGGCCCCTGCTCCCGGGCCGCTCCGGGGGCAAGTCAGGGGAGCCCCCTGGCCAAGTTTCAGCAGGTGGGGAGCTGACGGCTGGCTGCTGGCGGGTGCTGGTCTCTCAGCCGGGCCTGGGGGTTGCAGGGCCCAGCGAGGTGGGTAGCTGCAAGGGGCCCGTTGAGTCTGACTCTGAGGGTGGGAACGAGGCCCCCGTGGGGACGCTCGCTGCCATCCCGCATGGCTCAGAGCAGGGGGATGCGGGATGGCTCCCAGAGCCGCCGGGCCAGGTCGCAGGCCTGCTGGATCACATGCTCGGTGGGGATCACACCCAGATGCAGCGTCAGCAGCTCGTAACACTTCACCCCCTCGGCCGGGTGGTTCTTGCTGTAATAGCGCAGAAGCTTCCTGCACGGGAGGAGACAGCGGTCAGGTGGGAAAGCCCCCGCCGGGCCCCGGTCCAGCCCCCAGGGGGCAGCGCAAGTGCCTCGGACCCACCCCAGATCAGACTTAGGGCAGCACACGGGTCCCTGGGCCTGGCCAGCCCATTCCAAGGAGAGGCCCAGAGGGGAATATGTATGAACGGCCAGGCTGGGTCAGACCCATCTAGCCCAGTGTCCTGTCTGCCCACAGTGGCCAGGGCCAGGTGCCCCAGAGGGAACGAATAGAACAGGGAATCACCAAGTGACCCACCCCCTCTCGCCCATTCCCAGCTTCTGGCAAACGGAGCTTAGGGACACCATCCCTGCCCATCCTGGCTACTTGCCATTGATGGACCTGTCCTCCAGGAACTTATCTAGTTCCTTTTTGAACCCCGTTATAGTCTTGCCTTCACAACATCCTCTGGCAAGGAGTTCCACAGGTTGAGTGTGCACTGTGTGAAGAAATACTTCCTTTTGTTTGTTTTAAACCTGCTGCCTGTTAATGTCATTGGGTGACCCTGGTTCTTGTGTAATGAGAAGGAGTAAACAACACTTCCTTATTCATTTTCTCCACATCAGTCAAGATTTTATAGACCCGTCATATCGCCCCGTCATCATCTCTGTTCCAAGCTAAAAAAGTTCCAGTCTTTTTAACTTCTCCTCGTATGGAAGCCGTTCCATACCCCTAATAATTTTTGTTGCCCTTTTCTGAACCTTTTCCAATTCCAATATATCTTTTTTGAGATGGGATGACCAGATCTGCATGCAGTATTCGAAGTGTGGGCATACCATGGATTTATATAGAGGCAATATGATATTTTCTGTCTTATTATCTATCCCTTTCTGAATGATTCCCAACATTCTGGTCACTTTTTTGACGGCCGCTGCACGTTGAGTGGATGTTTTCAGAGAACGATCCACAGTGACTCCAGGGTCTCTCTCTCGAGTGGTAACAGCGAGTTTAGACCCACCGTTGTGTACGTACGGACGGCCTCGGAGCCTGGACATCTGGGTTTGATCCCTGGCTTAGCGGCAGGCTCGTGTAACCTCAGCCCCTGGTGGAGACATGGGGACACCGCGAACCCCTGTTCTGGGGCATGTGGTTACAGCTGCCAGGCATTGGGCACCGAGAGAGGGTCCCGCAGGGCTCAGAGCCCAAGCACTGCCAGCTCCCAGCCCCACCTGCGACCCATGGCAGGCGAAGGGCAGCCCTGCAGCACAGAGCTCTTCCCATCTGCTGCTGCCTAGCCCAGCGGCCAGAAGAGGACTGGGGGGCAGGGGCTAGCTGGGTCCAGCACTCACCTGTAGTAATCCCCTGCCAGCAACCCGATGGGAGCAGAGTCGTCGGAGAGAACAGGAACCTCAATCACCTCCAGTTTGTAACCCTGCATGGCAAAGGGACAGCCATGAGGGGCTGGCCACGCCACCTGGAGGACCCGAGGCTGCAGCGGGGTGCTGGCTGCGTGGCCTTGAGCTCATGTACCAAGGCAGGGCTGACCAAGCACTTTGGGGAAACCTGTGTGCTGGGCGAGGGGGCTAGCCCCAGGTCCCGGGGCCTCAGGAACACACCACGGGATGATTTGCCAGGCCATGTGCCGTGGGGATTGTGTGCCAGGGCAGCGGCTGGCCACCTGGCCTCGGAGCCCAGGTGATGCCCACACCTCTCCATTTCTCGCCCTACGGAAGTGCTGCCGGGGCGAGGGGCCTCGTCAGGCAGGTCAGAGGCCAAGCGCCCCCCAACGCACCAGCTCGTTCTCGAACCAGAGGAAGTAGGAGCAGTAATAGTCGCCGTCACGCAGCGTGAGTGTCGTGTAGCCCTTCTGCAGGTAGCGCCGTGCCAGCCAAATCAGAGACCAGACCTGGGGGGAGAGGAGGCAGCTGCAGCCGGAGCAGAGATCCCCCCGCCCCACAGCTCTGCTCCCTGCTCCTCTCCCTCGGAGCCTGGGGCACCCTTCCAGCCAGAGCCAGGGCCGCTCCTGCTGAGCTCCCTGCTTCCCCAGCATCACACTCGCCCCCCTCCTGCCCGGCTCCCGCCACCCCAGCCATCGCTCTCACGGGGTTCTACAGCTGGGCCCGCGCTCCACCTGGCTGGGCCCCCACGGCCGAGCAGACCGGCCCAACCTGGGCAGGATGGGCCCCTTCTGAACCTCCCCACCCCCAAACCTAGGGGATCAGGGTCAGAGCCCAGGGCTGGTACCTTCTTCTTGATGAAGGCAGCCAGGGCACCCTTGCCCAGCTCTGAGGTGGAGTCCTCGGCCACGTTGAGAGAAGGTGCCACCATCTGCCCAGCGGTGCGGTCCACATAGATGAAGTGTACCAGGCCTGGGAAGTCCTCCAGGTATGTGGGGGCAGGTTAAGGGTGACCAGACATAGGGAAACCCCCTGTCCATGGGTGCCCTGCTGAGCCTGCCCTGGGCAATGGGGAGATCCCACGGACCCCCCAGGTGGTTCCGGATGGATCCTGCTCCCCGCCTCCCCTCTTGGTGATGGGAACCCAAACGCCAACGGCCCCCTGCCCACAGTCCCAGCAGCACCTCCTGTATCCCCCCCCCCAAGGCATCTGGAGGCGCAGAGGGGGGCTCTGTCCACAACCCCATGGCGTGGCCTACCTGAGGCCAGCCCAGTCCCCCACAGACCCCTGCCCTGTGGGACCCAATGTGTCTCGTTCAGGCCCCTTGCCAACTGTTGGCTGGGCTCCCTGCAGTCTCGTCTCCCCAGCGCTGGGCAGAGTCCAGTCCTGCTGTTGGAGAGATGGGGCGAGCCCCCGCTTAGCTGTGCCAACTCAGCCAGGCCAACTGCCCCCCCGAGCCGGCCGGAAAGCCGACCCCCAGCCCTTGCTACACCGTGGGAAGGTCCCGGGGGGGGAGGGAGGAAGGAGCCTGCTGTCCCCAGGTGCCCTTGCCCAGGGCTCTCTGGGCGGATGTGACACCATGGTAATGTTCCGCTTGCTCTTCACCAGCAGGAAGTCCCTCCAGTCCAGCAGCTTCTCCCTGCAGAGGGCGAGGCCTGGCCTGAGCGTGGCGCCCTCTCCGCCTGGCCAGGCCCTTGGGTGCCCAGCACTGACACGGGGACGCCGGCCACGGCTGGCTCGTACCCCGCGCTGGAGGGGACGGGGCACGTGCCACCCCAGGGAGCCCCACAGAAGAGCTGCCTGCCCAGCCCAGGCCCCGGAGGTGGCTGGGGTTCAAAGAGCCCTGCCGGTTACAGGGACACGTACCTGCTAAACCCGCCACGGTCTGCGGTGTCCTCTCCACGCAGGGCCCAGGCCACAGTCAGCACCCGCCAACGGGCCCGGGGCTCAGCTGGGCAGCCCAGGGCACCACCCACCGAGTTGCAGCTGGTGCTGCCCGGGGGTTGGTTTCCAGCCATTTCCCCACGAGTCCTGTTGAAGTGCCAGCCTCCCCCCAGACCCCCCCACGCACTCGCCCCTTCCCCGGCAACCTCCTCTCCTCTCCTCCCCCCAGCCCCCTCCACGCACTCGCCCCTCCCCCGGCAACCCCCCCTTCCACGCACTCACCGCACCAGCTTCTGGGCCCAGTCCCGCAGGCCCTGGGCCAGGCCCTGGGTGGACGGCGAGGTCAGGAAGAGCTGGCGATAGACGGAGCAGAGCTGCTGCCTCACGCTGCCGAGTGCCTGCAGGAGCCTGGAGAGAGACAGCCCCTGAGCAACGCCCCCACCCCGGGCCCCCGACAACAGCTGGGGGCCCCCCCAAGAGCTGCCCCAACTTTCTTCCTTGCCCTCCTGGACCTCTGGGCCTGGAGCCCCCACCCTGCCCCAGAAGTCCCCACCCCATCCCAGCCACCCTGTACCCCTGGTTTTCTCCCCACACCCCCATACTCACTCCCTGGAGCTCCCGGACTCATGTCTGGAGAATGCTTTGCTCTTGAACTCCAGCCAGGCATTGTGTAACTAGGACGACAGACAGGGCAGCCGTGAGGTGTGCGGGCTGTGCCAGGGTCCCCAACCGCCTCGCAGCTCCACGCTGGACTCCCACCTGCATGTCCTGCCTGCCCAGCTTCTTCATGAACTTGTCCATCCTCTGGCGCAGCTCAGCCAGGAGTGGGTGGGAGCGGGTGGGTGGCCCCACCTCCTGCCCCTCCCTCAGCTTCTTCTCCAGCACCAGGAACCCGTCCAGCAGCTGGTACAGGGAGCAGACGACGTGGGTGCTGGGGCTCTGAGTTGGGGGAGAGGGGTGTGAAAGTGGGAATTGGTTTGTATGACTTTTATGAGTCTGATGCGCCTCAGTTTCCCATGCATTGTTCCCCCGTGGGTGGGACAGCACTCTTTGCTCTCAGGGCAGACTGAGACAAGGGTGGGGTGTCACCTGGCTGTCTGGGCCTGGCCCCAGATCAGTGGAGATTTGAGATGCCGATGGCAAATCCAGTCCCCAGGACACTGACACCCAGTACCCCAGGGGACAGAGATCTCCCCACCTCTGCGCAAGGAGGCTGAGCCACACCCCCCAGCTAGAGATCAAAAGGGCTGGGAAGGGGGTGGGGGGCTCAGAGGGGGCTGCTTGAAGAAGTCGGGGTTCTCACTGAGAGTCGGACCAAGGGGGTCAGAGCCTGACACAGCTGGAACCCAGGGCCTCCCTACAGCCTGGCCGGGCTCTGGGCTCCCCAGAATGGGCCGTGCTGTAACCTTCAGTTCTCTGGGAGACCCGACCACCGGCCTGGGTCGTGGCCAGTTACTGAACAAACCCGACTGTCTGACCGCGCTGGGGAAGTCGCTGCAAACGCTGGCCGAGGGGCAACCTTCAGGAGCTAATGCACAAGCCTCCCTTGGGGGCTCTCCCAGCTGGACCCGCTGCCCTGAGCTCAGGGGGGCAGCAGGGGCGCTGTACAGCTGGGGTCCAGGCTCAGGAGGCGGGGAAGCAGCGGGGCTCACCCAGGAGGAAGAGCGAGACCCCTGGGGGCCTGACCCACTGACAGGCTCCTCCCAGACACTATTCCAAAGCTGGGGCCGTAACACTGTCACTGTGGGTCTGTGGCAAGCCAGGCCGGGCACCATGCACCACGCCCCAGACCCAACTCACCTTGGTCAGGAGCACCAGCGAGATGCCAGGCCAGAGCGGCAGGCAGTACATGGTGTGGGGCACCATGGGGCAGTAGCCCTCCCGCAGGTTCGCATCCAGGAAGATCCTTCTGGGGTTGGAGGCATCGGGCGCTGGGGGCACCAGGGCCCGGAGTGAGTCTTCTGCCACCTAGAGAGCGAGCGAGCGAGCACAGCTGGCTGGACACCCCGCACCGGGGAAGGGACCAGGCAGCAACAGCCTGGTCTGCCCACATGCCACGTCGCGCAGCAAGGGCAGACCTGGTGGCACCACCCCCGGGAAGCTGCAGTCAGATGTGGGCAGGTGGGAGGACTCCTGGGCAGAAGGGAGAGGGCGACAGGCAGAGCAAAGTGGGGAAACTGAGGCTGAATCTTGGGACAAACTCCCCACAAGGGGGGGGATGGATCCAGCTGGGGGCTCAGACCCACCCCCAAACCTTCCCTAGGAGCTTGTCAGGCAGGGAATTCAAGTCTGGACAGTGCCCTAGGGCAGGTGCCGCCAGGCCCGGCCCAGGCCCACTCCAAGTCCGGGTTCCCTGGCCAGAGGGGCAGGGAGGACAGGGTGGGGTCTGCGGTGGTGGGCAAGTCTGAGAGGCCTGGCCTGTGCTGAGGGGCTGGGGAAGGAGCGAGTTGGGGTGGGAAGAGCTCTGGGGGAGAAGGGGCTGCAGGAGCCCTGCGGAGACCCCTCCTTTGGCTATGCTGGGAGGTGGGTGTACTGGGGACAAGGGCAGGCTGGCAGGGCCAGGACTGCACAGGAGGACATAGGAACCAGGGGCTCTCACAGGGTCTTGCTCAGGGCAGGAATTCCTGGCGAGCCCATCCCTGGCTTACCTGGACATCAGCAGCATCTGCCTCCCCGGAACCCGCTAGCTCTGAGCCCTCCGACCAGCTGGCGCCTCCTGTGGGCAAGAACAGAGAAGGAGCCAGCTGCCCCAGCACCGTGTGCAGCCAAACCACCCTGTGGGGGGTTCCTGCCCTGGCCTCTGACACCCCACCCCGGGCCTTGGCCTCCCCCAACATCCCCCGGCCCCAGCACTCCTGGCACAGCGCCCTCGTGCCGGCTCTGCAGCCTGCCGCCTCTGGGGCACAACCAGTTTCCCGGTGTGAGGTGGCCCGTCTGTCCAGGGACTCACCTGTGCTCTGCCTGCTAGGCGAGGGCTGGGGGGTGTAATACTCCTCGGGCATGGAGAGCTCGTCCGCATCCTGCAACGAGAAGGGAGCCAGCTCAGCGGGGCAGTGGGACCCTCCCCCCAACGACAGGGCTTTGGGGATGGGTGGGGAGTTGCCAGGCTGGGCCAGGATGGGCCCCCAAGGGACAGAATAGCGAGGCTGGCCTGGTTGTGAGGCTGGGGCACAGTCAGGCTCCAGGTAGCTGGATTCCATCAAACACCCCTTAGTGCACCGTTTCCAGACAGCTGCCCCCCGGTAGGAGACGGATTTGTTTTGTGCACCCCAAGTGTCACCTCTCTTAAGAGCTGCCTGCTTACAAACCCAGATGTCAAAATACAAGTGTCCCAGCACGCCAGTACTGACCAACGGCAGACTCCTTTTTACCGTATCATTGTAAAATAGATCAACTGGATTAGAAACACTGTAGGTACATGTCAGCGTGCAGTGTATGATGGGGCAGAATGAACCAGCCTGGTCTGCATGAAGCCTCAGTTTGTACGGACTCCGCTAGTGCTTGATGTAGCCTGCTGTAAAACTAGGCAAATCTCTGAGTTGATGTACCCCCTGGAAGAGCTCTGTGTACCCCATGGGTACATGTACCCTGCTTGAGAACCTCGGCCTTAGCAGAGAGTCGCACCCAGCAAGTCCTGGCCCCATCCCTCCAGGTACCGGCAACGCCCCCCACTCTGCACCTTTGCTCTGATCACAGCAAGCGCTTTGGGGCAGGGAGAACGGCTTGGCTTGTGCTCCCAGAGTGTGAGGGGGGCATGAGCCCAAGCCGCTCCTGATCCTGGGGTTTGAAATGAGCCATGCAGCTCCCAGCACCAAAGGGCCCTGATCCTGATGGGGAGGAGAGAACAGCTCTGACCATCACGGGACCCTGCCCTTGCTGGGGCTCCAGGGGACCACAATACCCACAACCCCTGTGCCATCCACCCGGGTGCCAGGCCCAGCCAGCCACACACACCTGCTCCTCTGCCTCGCTCCTGGGGGTGCCGTGTGGACCTGGGCTCCTCACTGGGATGCTCTCGCTGCTCTTCGGCCTCTGGAGAGTCGGCCCCCCCTCTGCCAGCTGCAGGGAGAGCAGGAGAGCTGCTTAGAGGGGTCCAGCCCCCATCACAGAGGAGCACCCCTCTCCCGACAGTCCCACCAGCCCCAGGCTGCTCTCAAGGCCTGTCCCCCAGGCAGACCCAGGGCAGGCACCTGTGGGCTCTGGTCCTTGTCTGCGCTGGGGCTGCGACACAGGTCCTGCACCAGGAGGATGAGGGTGAGCAGGTCGGCTGGGCGGATGGTGCTGGCGCTCCGGCTGTGGCGAGAGAAGGCCCGTGAGCGGGGAGGGGCGATAGAGCTGCTGCTCCAGGAAGGGTCATGGAGGCAGGGTGGGGAGACGCTCTCACCTGGAGTAGAAGGCCAGCAGCCTGGTGTGCACCAGCAGGAAGGCGTGCATCACCTCCTCGCCCCCGCGCTGCCCGCTGGCGTTGATGTGCTGCACCACCTGGCGCTCCAGGAACTCGATGCACTGCTCACACAGCTGGGGGTGGATCAGCCGTTCCACGGCCTGCGGGCAGGTCACAGGGAGACAGACCCGGCGCTGAGCTGGGACGGGGCAAGGGGAGCCAGCGGCCCTGTGGGGCAGCTCCCGGCCACGCCACCTGGGGAGTGGGAGGAAACCCCCAAATATTCTGCACTCACGCCCCCCGCCCCCCAGGATCCCCCAGCGCCGCCCAGGCCGTCCTCGGGGCAATTCACCCCAGTCACACCCAGCGCCCACAGCCTGGTAGCCCCCTGTGACGAAGTGGGACTGTTCTTAATGTTTCCTCTGAATAGTGTGGGGGTGCCTCAGTTTCCCCTAGGCAGTTCTTAAGTATCTAGGGGGTGGAGTAAGGGTGTATGATCATTGCAGAGCCCTAGAGGGCATGTGTGTGCAGGAGTCTGGACACAGAGAATGGCCGACACCCTGTTTCCTGGCAACTAATGGCCTGGGCCCTTCCCCCCCTGCAAGGTGAGAGCTGAAGGGTTGGAGAACAAAGGAATCAGGTGACCACCTGGCCCAGGAAAGGAACAAAGCCCAGAGGAGGAGGGGCTGGAGGGGGTTTTCAGTTTGGGGCTGGCTGGGACATGGAGTGAAGTGCAGACGTGGTTGTCTGGCTCACTGCCCCCCAAAATGGACCCAGCTGAGGGGTCCCGTTCTCTGCACCTGCAAGCTCTGTTTTAGACCATGTTCCTGTCGTCTAATAAACCTTCTGTTTTACTGGCTGGCTGAGAGTCACGTCTGACTGCGAAGTTGGGGTGCAGGACCCTCTGGCTTCCCCAGGAGCCCCGCCTGAGCGGACTCGCTGTGGGAAGCGCACGGAGGGGCAGAGGATGCTGAATGCTCCGAGGTCAGACCCAGGAAGGTGGAAGCTGTGTGAGCTGCGTGTCCTGAAGACAGGCTGCTCACAGAAAGGCGACTGCCCCAGAGTCCTGACTGGCTTCATGGGGAGCAGTTCCAGAGCATCGCCCAGGGACTCCGTGACAACTGGTGGCAGGGGTGGGATGTACTGCACCCCGTGGATGGTGCTTCCTGCAGTAAGTGACTGGGGAGCAGTAACACGAAGGGGGATTGCCGAGGACCAGGCCTGCTGAAGGCTCAGAGAGGAGCGGTTTCGGGGGGCGGTTAACCCCTGGGAGTGTGTGACCAGCGAGAAGGACTGTGCAGTAACAGGGTTCCCCTGGGGATTGCAGCGAGCAGTCCAAGGGGCGGAGGAGTCTGCAGCTCGACCCTGGCAAAGAGGTGGTGACCTCGAGAAGGGCTGACACACTAGGGGTTCTCCCTGGAAACCGTGGGGAGCTGAGAACACACGGGCCTGTGAGTCCACAACAACTTGGGAGGAGCGGAGTGATGGCCTGTCACCGTCTCCTTAAGAAGGACATTGTAACCCTGTGCAAAAAGAGAGGGTTGAGCATTGGAAAGTTCACCAAAGCAGAGTTAATCGTGCAGCTGGAGGAGGATGACCGCTCTAAGGAACAGATTCCTGACCCCAACTGGGGCTATAGCAGGATCTGGGAGCAGCTGAAGCGGGAGCCAGGCATCGCCAAGACTCCTGTCCCCGACCAGACGGGGGTCTTCACGATCGGGTTCCCCATTGGGGGATCAAGACGGATGGGATTGGAGCTGAGACCGAGAGAGCAAGAGGACTGTGAGAGACAGCGAGAGCCCGAGAAAGAGCTGCAGAAGCAGCAGCAGCATGAACTGGCGGTGGGGGAGCGGAGAGGCCTAGGGGACCCCTCAGGGGTGAGTGGGGATAGATCCCGGGGGGCCAGTTCAGCAGGGAACCTCGAGACTAAATTGCTGCCCCTGGTTAAGGGGGGGGGTTTGGATGCCCACCTCACTGCCTTTGAGCAGGCTGGCGATTTGAACCAAGGGGACCCTGCGGAAAAGCCCCGGTGTCTAGCTCCCTTGCTGGGTCCCAAGGCCACAGACTCCGTCAGCCAGATGGTTGGGGATGTGGACAGGCTCCCACTCCTGACCCCAACCTATATGTCTGTGTGGAGTTTCCTGGGGCCAGGCCCCCCGGACCTCCAGTGGGAGCAGAAGGTGATGGTCAATGGGGAGACATTCTTGGGGTGGCCAAAGGGCATGGGCTGCATAAACCTTCCCACATGCGGCCTGCGAGTGCTATCGACCACCCCTGACCTAAGGGAGGGCGTGAAACTGGAAGGGCCTGGTGTAACTCCTACCAAGGAATGGGAGAGATGCTGGGGCATCCATGGGAACGTTGGTGGCTTCGAACTTCCCCAGGTCACCGGCTAAAGTGACCCCGCTCAGTTCGATCTCGAAGGGGGGAGAGATGTGACGAAGTGGGACTGTTCTTAATGTTTCCTCTGAATAGTGTGGGGGTGCCTCAGTTTCCCCTAGGCAGTTCTTAAGTATCTAGGGGGTGGAGTAAGGGTGTATGATCATTGCAGAGCCCTAGAGGGCATGTGTGTGCAGGAGTCTGGACACAGAGAATGGCCGACACCCTGTTTCCTGGCAACTAATGGCCTGGGCCCTTCCCCCCCTGCAAGGTGAGAGCTGAAGGGTTGGAGAACAAAGGAATCAGGTGACCACCTGGCCCGGGAAAGGAACAAAGCCCAGAGGAGGAGGGGCTGGAGGGGGTTTTCAGTTTGGGGCTCGCTGGGACATGGAGTGAAGTGCAGACGTGGTTGTCTGGCTCACTGCCCCCCAAAATGGACCCAGCTGAGGGGTCCCGTTCTCTGCACCTGCAAGCTCTGTTTTAGACCATGTTCCTGTCGTCTAATAAACCTCTGTTTTACTGGCTGGCTGACAGTCACGTCTGACTGCGAAGTTGGGGTGCAGGACCCTCTGGCTTCCCCAGGAGCCCCGCCTGAGCGGACTCGCTGTGGGAAGCGCACGGAGGGGCAGAGGATGCTGAATGCTCCGAGGTCAGACCCAGGAAGGTGGAAGCTGTGTGAGCTGTGTGTCCTGAAGACAGGCTGCTCACAGAAAGGCGACTGCCCCAGAGTCCTGACTGGCTTCATGGGGAGCAGTTCCAGAGCATCGCCCAGGGACTCCGTGACACCCCCTTCCCCAGGCTAGGCCCCCCACCGCCCGGGGTGCGCCCAGCAGAAGGTACCTCCACGGCAAAGCTCTGCTCGGCCTCCCGCAGGCTGCTGTAGGTCTGGAGAAGGCCCTGGAACAGGGCCCACACGCGGCTGCGCTGCTCCAAGACCGCCGGCCGCAACCTGGGAGCACAGACGCCAAGTGAGCCGAGTCCCGCTCGGGAGAGGCAGGCCTGTCCCAGGGACTGCCCCTGGGCTCCCGGGGCCCCTCTCCTGGCTGAGGGCCCCCCAGGGGCCCCTGCTTGGGCCAGGTCTCCTCCCTGGGACCGAGACACACTGCTGCCAGCTGCTTCCCAGGCTCCAGCCGCTCCTCCCAGCCCTCAGAGGCAGGCGTGGGGAAGGAGGCGGCACCTCCTCTGGGCTAGCCACACTCCAAGAGCCGGAGATGAGACCCAGCACGGTGCACGCTGCACCCTGGGACCTGGCCTCCCTCCAGGCCATAGCCCACAGCACAGCTGCAGGACCCATGTTCACCAATGCCCAGACCCCGGCACCTCCCAGGCCGGTCGCTGACCGGGCAGAGCGTCGGAGCCCCAGGGATCGGCCGCAGCGCTAGCTCACCAGTCAGGCACTGGCTGCCGCGCTGACGTGCGCATCTGGGGGAGAGGGTCAGCTCAGCCCCACCCAGGCAGCGCCAAATGCCCTCCCGGCCCAGCCAGCCACTCACTCCTTGCAGATAAGGTGCGAGTCCAGGGTCACCAGGCCGAAGTGGACCTCGACCAGTCTCCTCAGCACGTAGAGCTTCCGGCGCAGGTCGTCCTCGCTCTCCGAGCCGTCACCGTTCACCGCAATGTACAGACACTCCCCGAACTGCAGCGCGACGGCAGGGCCAGGCAGGAAACAGGAAATCCCTGCCCGTTAGACCTCCTGGTCCCGGCTGGGCCTGGGGCAAAGCTCCCCGTGGGCCAGCCCTCGTCAGCAGCAAGGGGGTCCCCTGCCGGGAGTACAGCCCGGGGATCCTGCCCTGAAGGGACCCTCCCCCCGTGCACACGCAGTGACCCGGCGCAGGGCTCTTCCCGGGGCCAGGCAGGATGGCAGCTGCATCCCGACCGGGGCTAATGCCACACTCCCAGCGAAGGGACACACGCTCCCCTTGCCAGTGGGTGCTGAGCCCGGGAGGGGGTCCCTGGGCACCGTTACCATGTGCAGCACGTAGAGTTGGCCTCCATCCTCAGCCGAGAAGCAGGTGTAGGTGTCCGAGAGCCGCTCCAGGAGCGTCACGCAGGAGATGATCAGGGGGGGCGAAGAGTGTGTTGATGCTGTCCTCAAAGGCAGGCGGCTGCAGGGCAGGGCCAGACAGGCCATGAGCCAGTCCTGCTCCAGCTGCTCCCCCTCCATGCCCCCGCGCCCCCCACAGCACGGGGCCCTCAGCCCAGCCCCAGCTAATTCCCCCACCCGCCCAGTTCCCAGCTGCACCCCCGCGGGGGTCTGGAGCTGAGCCTGGAAGTCCTCCGCCCCCCCCAGCACGGGGCTCTCAGCCCAGCCCCTCCCCCCGGCCCGGGGGCTTGCTGCACCCCCGGGGCAGAGCTCTCACCGGGTGCCCCCCTTGCCCCGCCGGGCTGAAGCGCCGGCCCAGGCTCTCTGTGAACGCCTCGTCGGCCCAGTAGAACAGCACCTCAGCCCCCGGGCTGGCGACCAGCACGCACTTCATCTGGGGAGAGGGAAACCCGGGTCAGCACCCCGCCCCGGCTGGGTCCCCGGGCAAGGAGCCTGCCCGCCCCGGGCCCAGCTGCACCCCGGAGCCGCCTCAAGCCCGCCCGGCTCAGGGGTCCGCGCGCTCATGCCCCGTACAGCCGCGCCCTCCTGGGGAGGCCTGGCCCAGGGGGCACCGGGGGGGGGGGGGGGGCGGGGGGAGGGGAGGGCCTGGCCCAGGGGGCGCGGGGGCCGGGCGGGGGAGGGGGGGGAGGGGGAGGCCTGGCCCAGGGGGCGTGGGCAGGGGGGGGCCGGGGGGGGGGGGGGGGCCAGGCGGGAGGGGGAGGCCTGGCCCAGGGGGCACGGGGGGGGGGGCGGGCAGGGAGGGGGAGGCCTGGCCCAGGGGGCGCGGGGGGGGGGGCCGGGCGGGGAGGGGGAGGCCTGGCCCAGGGGGCGCGGGGGGGGGCCGGGCGGGGAGGGGGAGGCCTGGCCCGGGGGGCGCCCTTTCAGAGCCGCCGCCGGAGGCCGCCACAAGGGCCAGGCGAGCAGGGGCCGCCTGCCGGGGCGCCCGTGGACCAGTCCCGTGCCTCAGTTTCCCTCTGAGCGTGCCCGTCACGCTGCCTGGACGACGCTAAGGGGAGGGGTCCGGTCTCCTCCCGGCAAGACCGCAGCTCACCGGGAGGGCACAGGGGGCAGGACCGGCCGCACCCGGCACTCGGGGGGGCCTGACGCCCCACGGCGGGCGCCACGGAGCCGGGCACGGGCACGGCGAGCCGCAGCACCGCCCGGCCTCAGTTTCCCCACCCCCCGCGGCCCCCCAGTGCCGGGCACGGCTGCCCCCAGCGGACGCTGCGGGAGGGGGGGAGGGGGCCGGCCCGGGCCCCGCCCCCGGGTACCGGTACCGTGTCCGCGCGCTCCCGCCGCCGCCCCCGGGCGCCTCATGTGACCCGGCACCGCTCATGTGACCAGCCCGGCCAGGGGGAGGGGCAGTCGGCCCCGCCCCCAATCCGGGCCCCGCCCCCAGCCCGGGCCCCGGCGGCCTCGCGCCGCCTCCCCCCCCCCCGCCACAGCGCCCCCTGCCGGGAGAGGGCGGGGCCGTGCTCCCCCCCCCCCCGCCACAGCGCCCCCTGCCGGGAGAGGCCGGAGCCGCGCTCTCCCCCCCCGCCACAGCGCCCCCTGCCGGGAGAGGGCGGGGCCGTGCTCCCCCCCCCCGCCACAGCGCCCCCTGCCGGGAGAGGCCGGAGCTGCACTCCCCCTCCCCACCCCCGCCACAGCGCCCCCTGCCGGGAGAGGCCGGAGCCGCGCTCTCCCCCCCCACCCCCCGCCACAGCGCCCTCTGCCGGGAGAGGGCGGGGCCGTGCTACCCCCCCGCCACAGCGCCCCCTGCCGGGAGAGGGCGGAGCCGCGCTCCCCCCCCCGCCACAGCGCCCCCTGCCGGGAGAGGCCGGAGCCGCGCTCCCCCCCCGCCACAGCGCCCCCTGCCGGGAGAGGGCGGAGCCGCGCTCTCCCCCCCACCCCCGCCACAGCGCCCTCTGCCGGGAGAGGGCGGAGCCGCGCTCCCCCCCCCCCCGCCACAGCGCCCCCTGCCGGGAGAGGCCGGAGCCGCGCTCCCCCCCGCCACAGCGCCCCCTGCCGGGAGAGGGCGGGGCCGTGCTCCCCCCCCGCCACAGCGCCCCCTGCCGGGAGAGGGCGGAGCCGCGCTCCCCCCCCGCCACAGCGCCCCCTGCCGGGAGAGGCCGGAGCCGCACTCCCCCCCCCCAACCCCCGCCACAGCGCCCCCTGCCGGGAGAGGGCGGAGCCGCGCTCTCCCCCCCCCCGCCACAGCGCCCCCTGCCGGGAGAGGCCGGAGCCGCGCTCTTCCCCCCCCGCCACAGCGCCCCCTGCCGGGAGAGGCCGGAGCCGCGCTCTCCCCCCCCGCCACAGCGCCCCCTGCCGGGAGAGGCCGGAGCCGCGCTCTCCCCCCCGCCACAGCGCCCCCTGCCGGGAGAGGCCGGAGCCGCACTCCCCCCCCCGCCACAGCGCCCCCTGCCGGGAGAGGGCGGGGCCGTGCTACCCCCCCACAGCGCCCCCTGCTGGGAGAGACCAGAGCCGCGGGGGGCCCCCTCGCCGACCCAGAGCCCCCCGGGCTCCGCGCAGGGCTGGGGGCAAACCCGCTGCTGCTGGGGGGGCCGGGGGCGTAAGGCAGGTGGTTTCCCCTCAAAGCCGGGCTGGAGAGACCCCTGCCCCGGCTGGCCCCCCATGTGCTCCGCGATCCCCCCCATCAGAACACGCCCCAGTTCCTTTGCAGCGGGAGGCCCCAGAACCTCCCTCAGCCTCCGGGAAACGGGATGGGACCAACCCAGGTGCCCTGCCCCGCCCGTGCCGGGGGCTGCTACAGGGCAATAGGGCCCTGGCTCTGCCCACTGCATAGCCGAGTCCGACATGGCCCCTTGGACTTGTGGGGCCTGACGGGGCAGCTGCCCCCCTCCCTGCCCCCCCCAGAGGCCCTGTGCCCCGCTGACCTCCAGCCGCCGCCTCGCCCAGGTGTGAGCTGCGGCTGAGGCCAACGCCCGGGGCGGACAAGCCGGCCGCTGCGAGGGGCTTTGCGTGTGCAGCTCCAGAGCCGGCCTGGGCCACAGGGTCTTGCCCCAGCCTGGGTTCCTGGCGGACCGAGAGGGGCTGGCCCGGCGGTGCTCGGCTCCCTGCTCGCGCTCTGCAGATGCCGGAGGCTGGCGGGACACCCCAGTTCCTGCTGCAAGGATGGGAACGGGGCCCAGGAGCCCCAAGTGACCTGGTGGCTCCCGAGCCCCGCTGGCCGCATCCTGCTAGCCGGCGGCATTCTGCCCCGCCGCGGGGCCTGCGCGCACCGGCCTGGCAGCTGCTGCATTGGGGTCGGGCCCAGGCCCTCACTGTCTGCAGCCGGGGGGACCCGGCTTCGTGCTGCCCCGTTTCCTCCCCGCCCTACGCAGGCTGCCAGAGGAGGGCAAAGTGCAGACGCGGTGCAGCTGGCCCAGTCATTATCTGGGAGGGAGCCCACAGCCGCAGACACCCCTAGGGCGGGCGGGAAGATGCTGCTTCAGGGGGTCTGTTTACCCTCTGAGCAGAAGGGGCCTAGTATCTCGGCTGGGTCCGTGTGTGTGTGGGGGGCCTAGCCCGGCTCTGGGCACACATTGCCACGACTACTCTCTTCGGGGCGCTCCTGCGTGTCACGGGCACGGCTCTTCCTGCTGGTAATCGCCCCTGCTCGGCATGCAGCCAGGTCCTACGAGCCAGGCCAGGGCACTGGGCAGAGACAGGGAGCCAACCGCTTCCCCTGAGAAACGCGCACGAGAGCCGGACCGGGGGTGTCTGTCTTGGGAGGCAGCCCCAGAACTCAGCACGTGCTGGGGCCGGGGCCCAGGAGCAGTGGGGGGCCGGGCCCGCCCCGAGAGGAGACGGGATTTGCACCCGCGTGGGCTGTCACTGACTCAGCGCTTGGTCTCAGGGTTTTAAATCACGGAGCTGCCAGGCCTGCGTGAAGCCGTGATATGCAGCCAGCCAGCGTCTTCCCGGGCACAAGCCACTCGGCAGCGGGCGTGGCGCCGGAAAGCGTGGCATGCAGGGCAGGCTCCAGGCCGGGAGCGGGGATGCTGCACTGCTCTGCATGACTGGCTGCACTGGGCGCGTCCCCCGCCACCCCGGCAGCGAGGGGAAGAGGGGGGATGCAGCGCTGGACCCTCCCCCCAAATTCACAGCAACCTGCCTGCTACTAGGGCCGCAGCCGGAGAGTGCGAGCCCCACAGGATCTGTTCCCACTGCCCTGGCCTGTCCCCGCCCCTCCCGCCAGCCCTCCTGCCGGCTGGGCGAGATCCCAAGCAACCCCCCATGCGGGGGGCTGGGGGACAGTAAGTGGCCAGGCCCCAGTGGCTGTTCCCTGCAGAGGCAGGAATGCCCCGCGTTTCCTGGTAGGTCAGCATCTAGCAATCCTGGTGATCGGCTGGGCAGCCACCGAAGCCAACAGCCCCCAGCCCTGCCACTCCCCCCTGCCCCCCCGGGCGTGCAGGCTGGCTGAGAACGGGAGCCTAGCGGCAGCAGGCTAATGGCTCACCCCACGTGCAGCGCAGCCGTGACTGGGGCACCGAGTGCCGCTCCCTACGGGTCAGCCGAGGCACCCTGTGGCCGTGAGAGGAAGCCGCTGTGTCGATGGGAGCCGCCCGCCCGTTGGCGCTGTCTACACCGGCAGTGAGGGCATCGCTTGGGCGCGGACGCTCTGCACCCCGTAGCTACCCCGACCGGTCTGTCGTGCGCCAGGTCCTAGCTGGTGCGTACCGAGGGGAATCCAGGACACAGCGGGGCAAGGAGCTGGATTTCAGGAACGCACAGCTGGGGGCCGTGAGATACCCAGAGCCCCAGGTGCCAGGGGCGGGAGCTGGGGAAGCCCAGAGACATGCTGGTGAGGCTGGACACCCCAGTAACACGGCTGCACAGGGAGCGAGCGTCCGCGGTGGCGGTTACAGGTGACTATACAGGGGGCAGCTACGCACGGAGCGCGGGGTTGGGGGGCTGGCCACTAGGGGGCGCTCTGCAGGTGAGCATGAAGAATTCCCAGCTCCTGTTCAGGGTGGGAGGTGGCTCAGGACTCCTGTCTGGAATGAGTCCCACCCTGGCCAGGCATCCTGCTGCTGGAAGCCCCCCAGGCTGCCCCCCCCCCCACTTCCAATCCTGGCCCTTAATTCAGAGCCAGCAAGGGGGCAGCCAGTTGAGTGGGAGCCCTGCTGATGCAGGGGAGAACAGGCAGAGGGTCAGGACAGGCAGAGCGCTGGCTGCAGGCAGGGGAGAACAGGCAGAGGGTGGGAGGGTCGGGACAGGCAGAGCGTTGGATGCAGGCAGGGGAGAACAGGCAGAGGGTGGGAGGGTCGGGACAGGCAGAGCGTTGGCTGCTGGCAGGGGAGAACAGGCAGAGGGTGGGAGGGTCGGGACAGGCAGAGCGTTGGCTGCTGGCAGGGGAGAACAGGCAGAGGGTGGGAGGGTCGGCACAGGCAGAGCGCTGGCTGCAGGCAGGGGAGAACAGGCAGAGGGTGGGAGGGTCGGCACAGGCAGAGCGCTGGCTGCAGGCAGGGGAGAACAGGCAGAGGGTGGGAGGGTCGGCACAGGCAGAGCGCTGGCTGCAGGCAGGGGAGAACAGGCAGAGGGTGGGAGGGTCGGGACAGGCAGAGCGTTGGATGCAGGCAGGGGAGAACAGGCAGAGGGTGGGAGGGTCGGGACAGGCAGAGCGTTGGCTGCTGGCAGGGGAGAACAGGCAGAGGGTGGGAGGGTCGGCACAGGCAGAGCGTTGGCTGCTGGCAGGGGAGAACAGGCAGAGGGTGGGAGGGTCGGCACAGGCAGAGCGTTGGCTGCTGGCAGGGGAGAACAGGCAGAGGGTGGGAGGGTTGGGACAGGCAGAGCGTTGGATGCAGGCAGGGGAGAACAGGCAGAGGGTGGGAGGGTCGGGACAGGCAGAGTGCTGGCTGCTGGCAGGGGAGAACAGGCAGAGGGTGGGAGGGTCGGCACAGGCAGAGCGTTGGCTGCTGGCAGGGGAGAACAGGCAGAGGGTGGGAGGGTCGGGACAGGCAGAGCGCTGGCTGCTGGCCCGGGAGAACAGGCAGAGCGCTGGCTGCAGGCAGGAGAGAACAGGCAGAGGGTCGGGACAGGCAGAGCGTTGGCTGCTGGCAGGGGAGAACAGGCAGAGGGTGGGAGGGTCGGGACAGGCAGAGCGTTGGCTGCTGGCAGGGGAGAACAGGCAGAGGGTGGGAGGGTCGGGACAGGCAGAGCGCTGGCTGCAGGCAGGGGAGAACAGGCAGAGGGTGGGAGGGTCGGGACAGGCAGAGCGTTGGCTGCTGGCAGGGGAGAACAGGCAGAGGGTGGGAGGGTCGGCACAGGCAGAGCGCTGGCTGCAGGCAGGGGAGAACAGGCAGAGGGTGGGAGGGTCGGGACAGGCAGAGTGTTGGCTGCAGGCAGGGGAGAACAGGCAGAGGGTGGGAGGGTCGGCACAG